AATTTCAAATGTTACAAGAACGAGAAAATGGGTTCTACAAGCTACAAAAACGTCATTTAAGCCAATATGACCAGTTAGATAAGGAATACAAAACAGAATACTCGAACCAAGAGCTTCAGTTTCGAGATGTATACGATCAACTTCGGGAAGAGGAAATCCGTGCTGTGAAGGAAAATCCGGAAAAGCTCGAAGCGTTTTGGAAAGACAAACCAAATGCTGCATTCAATGTTCGAGTTGCGAAACATTCATACCAGAAAAAATGTAATGCAGCATTCAGAAGCTGGGAATCTGACAGAGATATTGCCCTACAAGAGTGCACGAAGAATTTCGAGTCAAAGAGGTTATCTCTGGGGAGGGATCAAGGTTTGGAGGATGCCGAATTCAAGCAGAGAATGAGAGATGAGTGGAGAGAGTGGGCAAGAAATAAGGTCGCCGAAGTCCGATGGTTTGACGCTGTTATTGCTGAGCGAGAGTATATGTTACAGACTCTAGAGAATGAGCAGTATACAATGGCTACAGTAGAGTCTAAAAGAGGCAGAGCACTGTAGGTTTTGTAACTATTTGTACGATGGAGATATGACTTTGATATAAATATTATCATATATTATTAGCTGTGCGTGGTGATAGAAGTTTGTCCTATTGTTCCGTCACACACCTGTGTCTGGAACATATGTGTCGGAGATCACCACGTGATACCATCGCTTAGCAACATGGCTTTCGAGCCAATAAGGATGGTTTGGAGGGTGTTATATCCGTGATTGAAGATCTGCTGGCTAGGAATCAGTACGGCGTCGGAGATTAGTTTTCCTTTGCATATGTTTCTTGACTTATATATATTGATCCTCGTGGAGAGAGCGGATGAAGTTACGATGAATGCGTCAGAAGATCATGCATCTATGAGTGATAATGAGGAAATTTGTATTTGTGATTTAGTGACCTTGTGTGAGAGACCGTGTGTGTTATGGGAGAGTATATATGACCACCACACCCATTGAACTAGTATGCAATAAGAGCAACTTTCTTTTCTTTCTTTTCTTTTCTATCTCTCTTTTCTTCTCTTCATTGACCATCTCAAGCTTACCAGGTAAGCAAAGATGATTCAGACAATCGTTACCTTATTTTTTCTATTCATATGTGTCAATTCTGCATTGTAAGTTATTCCTCTGCAAATCAAATCAACAAAGTCGCTAATACCGCAGTATTTTAGAATTCCCGCTTCATCACTCAACCGCGATGATCCTAGTCCAGTAATAGCTCCGGCACCATCAATCCCATCATGTGCAATTCCATGCATTGCATCAGCAGTAGCCGCAGAAACGAGTTGTGGCGCCACGGATCTAGCATGTCAGTGTGATCCTGACAATGCTAGTTTGATCCAAGGAGTAGCCACAAGCTGCGTACTTCAGGCTTGTGGCATCCAGGAAGCTCTTCGTTCGTATTCCTCTTTTACACAAAATGAATACAATGGAAAGCCCAGACTAATATTGTAAAGAGGTGCTAGATGATGCTTCTGCAGAATGTTCTTCTGTGCTTGCGGCTGGAAATGCTAGTGCTGCTCCTTCCTCGGTAGCCCCTTCAGCAATACCATCTGCTGCCCCAAGTTCGGCGCCAGCTAGCATATCGGCTGCTCCGTCGTCTGTTCCTACTTCTTCTCCTATTGACTCTAATCCCGCATCTGCAATTCCATCATCAGCTGTGGGCTCGGTTCCTTCGGCTGTTCCCTCCTCTGTACCAAATACGTCACAAAATGCCACATTCGTTATCCCTGCTTGTGCGGATAGTTGCATTCAGAATGCTGTTGGATCTACCTCTTGTGGACTCACGAACATTACTTGTCAATGTGAGAAAAGTAATGCGGAGATTATTCAGTCTGCTACTGTTTATTGTATAGCAGCAAATTGTGGGGATGATGGGGATTATGTTGCTATTGGTAGGTTCTTCCTTATTCTTCTTCTGGTATTGTTGGGTTCATTTTAGATTGATGGGAAAAGATGTGGGAGTGGTGATAATTCAGTATTTGGTGCAATGACCTACCCATGTTGAAGGGGTTGGAATATTCCATTCCAAATATGGCGAAGAAGAAATTTTGGGATTATTCAAAGCACAACCTCAGAAAGCTAATTCTGGTATAGAAATTAATAGATCACAAGTTGACAATTGTACCGCATTATCGACTCCTTATAACTCATCATCATCAACCACGGGCTCAATAACAGCCAATGGGCCAACACAAATAAGTCTTACCGGCAACCCATCCGGTATATCTACAGCACTACCTCCTTGCGGGGCACCTATTCCAGCTTCTTCAGCAGCACCCACGAGCTCAAGTCCAAGTCCATCGAATCCTTCTGATCCAGGAGATCCTACTTCTTCCATAAGTCCAGGTGGAAGCTCTCCTACAGATCCACCAAATAGTTTTGGCAACGGTCCACCATACTACGGATATCCAACACAATCGAGCCCGATTGATCCTCCCGGATCTCCAACATCGGGTGCTGGAGATCCATCGGGAATCGTATCCAGTACTCCCACTGATCCGGGGTTAGCTTCTTCAACTAATGTAAGCCTAGATCCATCAGATGGTTCTAGATCTGCACCCACTGATTCCATTTCCCCAACAAATGGTGGATCTTTCCCTTCAGGAGCTGGTTCTAGCACACCTACGGATCCAGGCTCAGCATCTTCGACTCATGTCAGTGCAGATCCATCGGGAATTGCATCTAGCACGCCAATTGATCCCGGATCAGCTTCTTCAACTGCTCTAAGTGCAGACCCATCAGGGGGTTCCGGATCTGCGCCTACTGATCCTAGTTCCCCAACAAGTGTTGGTTCTTTCCCATCAGGCGGTTCAACTCCTGTAGACCCGGGATCAGCTTCTTCAACCAACGCAAGTGCAGACCCATCTGGAACTTCTGGATTTTCATCAACTATTCCAGGTTCATTCCCTTCTGGCAGTTCTTCAATCCCCACAGATCCATCAGGAGGTACAGATCCTCCCGGAGCTGGAGCAGCTTCTAGCACATACCCTTCCGACCCATTTGGAGCTTCGAGCACGCCTCCTGGTGGAAATGGCAGTGGACCAAGTTATGGATATGGATATGGTACTTATTACCTTCCTAGCATACCCACACCTACAGGAAATGGAGGCGATCCCAGTGATCCATCGGAGAGTGGTGGTTTTTCGGTATCTTCTTCGGCTACAGGGGCGGCGTCTTCGAGTAGCCAGTCGATTGGAGCGCCTAGCACTTCTGGAGGAGACTCCTCGAGTCCTAGTACTTCTGGTGGAGATCCTTCATCACCGACAACTTCTGGTGGAGATCCACCTTCCCCAAGTACAACCGGTGGAGATCCTTCCTCGCCAAGTACAACTAACGGTGATCCATCTTCACCCACAACCTCAAGTGGGCTAAACAGCCCATCCAGCTTTCCCTCTGCGACCGATCCCTCTTCTTCTTCACCTTCCAGCCCAAGCAATCCACCTCCACCACCACCTCCACCAGCCAGCGGAGGCTATTACGGCTACAATCCCGCTTCAGCGCCATCATCACCCTCATTCACATCGCCCTCCATCCCAGCCATCCCAACATCCCCAACCGAACCCACCTCCCCCTCCTTCCGCCTCTCCCTCCTTCCCTCCCGCTACTCTCTCCTGACATACATCATGCGCGTATACTTCAACCTCTCACCCCCCTCCCCATTCATATCTTCGCGGGGCCTCACAACCAATTCTCGCACCTCCGCATGTATATTTTCCATCTCATCAACCGGCTTACTTTCCTGTTCCGGTTCTTCATCTTCCAATTCTCATTCTCACACCGGAACTTCCAATAACAATCCCCAAGACGCAAAAACGCGATATTTCGGAGATGATTTCGCGCGCGTGTGGAATTCTGGATATACGGTTTTACAGACGAGGAATACGTTGAGGGATATGCAGAGTAAGGATTTAAATGGGACGTTGGCGGTGGATTCTACGAGTGAGTATCCGTATGGGAGTTTGTTGAAGTTGAGAAATGGGGAGTTTATTGGGAATGGTATGTTGTTTTGTTTCCTTTTCACTTTTCTTGATCTATCTCTATCTACATGGGATTCATTTGTCTTTTCAACGATTAGATGGATTGTGTGATGAGTAAACAATATACACAAACAAACACTAACCCCCCAAATCCAGATAACCAAGCCCGTTTCTGCGCTCAAACAGCGTCTTCAATTCCTTCAACCTACGGATCCGTAAACTCAGACGCGACACTAAGCCAAACCGATGCGTTTTTGGAAGGAAGTCCAGTGCGTGCGTATATTAACGGGACGCAGGGACTACCTGCAGATTGTCAAGAGGTGAAATTGGTGATTGAATGGGTTGATGGGGGTGCTTAGGGTTGGAATGATATGCGATGCGGATGGGGAGGAGAGAGGCATGAGGAAATGGTATATGGATGAACATTCATTTGAGAGTCTTGTTTTCCTGCTTTTCATTTGTTGTAGGAGCGTTTAGCGTCGCTGTTGTTTGAATCAAGATAGCTGAATAGTAATGTTAATGCGGTAGTGTCATGAACTCTAGCTATCTTAATGCGGTCTATCTGGAGCTCATAAACAAAATACTACCATTGGATAGATTCTACACTCAAATGCGCATTTATTAATGCCGAGAAAGCATTCAAACTCATCAAATCAAACAATAGAATAACAATCAAAATAAAATTACGCCCCAACACCATCCCTTTTTTATCCCCAAGTTCCAACGTTATGCTATGCCATCCTGTTCTACGCCATGGTATATCCCTTTTCCTAGTCCTTGTCCTTGTCCTACCAATGCATCCATCCAACCAATCCTTTTGTTTGCCCCGTCCCAATCCCGCAGTGCCATGCCGTACCCAACCCCCCATACCATATCGCACCATGGCCTCACCCATATATACAAGTTATCTCAAAGTCATGTTATGTATGTGTAATCTCCCCTCATCTGACGGTACAGGAGGAGATGATGTAATATCGGATAATATTCACATTGAATTGAAGTCTCCCTTCTTTGGCCCCTTTTTCCCCTTTCCTCTAGGATTTCTCGTATTGCGTTTGACGATAACATTTTTCTTATCGTTGGAATCAGGTCGCAATCGCTTTCTAACCATCACTTTTCGAATTTCAGTCGTGCGTCGCATAACCCATGAATTTTTTTCCTTGTCTAAAACTGGTTCTTGCATTGTAGTGATAGTGATAATTAGGATGATTTTTGTACTGCCTTTCGGGGAGATGAATGTTTTGATGACTTTGGTTCTTTGGGTCGACACTAGACCTTTTGTGGTGGTAGAGGTATTTGATACTACCGCGGCGCTGGAAGCGGGATTTCTGGTTGGGAGACGTGTGATGGGGTTGTGGGTTCTTGTGCTTGTTATTGGTAATAGAAGGAGAGGTTGTTGGAGAATAGTGGAAATGCTGGGGAGACTTGGGGGAATAGAGTTATTGTTATTTAACACATTGTTTGTGTATATCGCTGGAGGAATGGAGATATTAGATGATGGATCTGAAGTGGATGAAGAAAAGTTCGTAGAAGAAGAAGAGTAGGAAATATTGGATGGCTTGATGGGCTTCATATTTTTAATTTGCGTCGTCTATACAAGAAACTACTCATCAATTTACTCGCCAACTTTGTGGGTACTGTTCAAGCGAACAGTAAAGAATATTATGGGGATGATAAATCCAAAACTGTGGAGAATGCAATCGAATTGCTATGAGTTGAGTATTTGAGTTTGGATGATCGTAAGATAAATTTTGGAATGGTAGCTTATATGCAAGTCATGCTCAGCCTTACCCGCTTTGCAACAAGCATCCAACAAGGCTTTCATAAGAAGCGCTATGAAATTTTCACACCAATTATGGCATAGCAGCAAAAGAGACCTGAGTACAATCTTTGCTCATACAAAATTTGTCCTCGGGGAGGGGAGACACTCGACCACCGATGACCGTAAAAGGGACCACAAGCGCGGTATGAGGCGGCTGTAGTACGCTCAAAAGCATGGGCCTGTGCCTAAACCCTTTCGCCGGCAAAAAGAAAATTACAGAAGACTATCAGGGAATCATATGGCGCGATAAATGCGAAAGAAACGGAAAACACGGCAAAAGAAGGTCGTAAGCTTGGTCGAGTAGATGACGGAGTGTAGTTTGCTCCAAGTGAATCAATCATTTCAACATTCTATCAAGCATTGAATCGAAGTCATCGCATTGCAAATTTCAGTTTAGCCATGGTCAACTAAAGAGCTTTAAAGTCTGTATAATCATGTACTTGTAATCCTTTGGAGCAGTAGAATTTGTGGAAGCGGATCACGCACCAACGCGGGTGTCCAACGGGATCCTACAAAAGCTTCGATCCAAAGTCCGCTTAGATGGCCGCATACCCCAACACTATTACTCGCGTGCCACAGCAGTTATAGTCTGACCCAAAAATAAGATAGATGACCGATATACCTAGGCTTATCTGCTTGGCATTGGCTTTAGTAACGCCGCCTTCTGAGAGGAAAGATTCACGTGGGGGAATATTGATTGATGACGAAAGTAAACTCGCCGTTCTCGGCCAAAATAAAAGTTTGGTCAGAGTTTTGGGAGATATGAGTCTTGCGCGGGTGTACACGCATATTGATGGTTTGACATGGCAAGCTTTTTGAAGCTGCCATATGAGAGTTGTACTCACCACAACACCATCAGGCTGGCCGTGATCACAGCCACCTTTATGAGTAATTCTAGCCATCCATTACCCAGGATTCTGGATGTTGATAACAAAATCGAAAAAAATAGGTTGAATTGAAACGGAAATCACGATTGGAATGGCGACCACCTTAGGTGACTTAATTCATACCAATTCAACATAGTGCACATGGTACACGGTACACGGTACACTGTACATAGTTCACAGGATTCAATCGCAGAGCTCTCCGAAGGATTATTGTTAAGAAGAAGGTGTTCTGCATGAATCTGCTTAGATCTGCTCACTTCCCCGGCTTTGAAAACGGTGACCCCGAAGAGTATGCATTATTGGACAAGATATAAGATAATCTATAGATACCTAGGTATTTGTATACTGCAACAGAGGAGGATTTGATAGACAAATTGTGATGGTTGGTGTTGATATTGATGTTGATGTTTGTTTGTCGTGATGATAATGTTGGACGGAACATAACACAACAGAGGGAATGAATATGGATTTGCATGTAATAATCTTATCACGTGAATTTATGGATCATCCAACAGCCGAAGCTCGCCAAGACTTATGCCTTGGCCTACGATTGTTCTAGCTATCTATCTCTCGCCTCTCTTCGTAGGTATGCATGCGATGTTATAATGTCCTTCGTATCTTATACGAGTATTTGCTTCAAGCCTTCAACAAAATTTTCAATGCTTGGACTTCCAGTAGAGTACTTAGTTTGCTGATAATAAACCACATCTGCATGTTCCCTTTGCCACTTTCCTAATGCCTACGGCACTATTCTAAGGGTCCAAAGTTGTGGGTTGTCTCATCCGTCCATCCATCTTTTCACAAGGAGATTTCGCGTGAGCTCCCCCAGGGCCCCAAGTCGCCACTGACAAGCTTTTCTTGCTCGTCGAAATTGTACTGTTCAAACAAGCAAGCCCTGTTACCAAGAAATGATCTTCAAGTGATGCTTCTTACTCAGTACACCATTGGTACACGAGCTCCAGACAGGGTTAGCTTGGTGCCCCTGCGGCAGTAAATTTCTCAGCAAAGCGATCGATAGCACATCCGCATCTCCAACAACCGATATAATCTTAAACTCTCTCCCGACTCTCAGACTCTCAGACCTTGTGCTAGAGGATCAAGTTCTCCAGAAAAACTTCATGTTAGCCCCAAGAAGCTTCGCCAGTAGGGATGGGCGAATTATATAATCTTGGGGTTGATTATATAATTCTATATTATAACGCTTTTTGGGCGTGATGAAATATTATGCCAAGATTATGCACGTGTTTTTTAGACCAATGAATCCATCAGTATGAATGAAAGTGGGTCATTTTTAGAAAAAGTTTTTGACAGGTTCTAATTTTCAATTTAGTATATAATTAGACCCAAAAATCAGGTGCTCATTATGTGATTTTTGTACTAATTGTCTTCTTTCCAAAATAGCTTCAAAATAGCTTTTTGTAGAGATTTTATAAGGGTTTATAGGATTTTATAGTGTTTTATGATTAGTCATACATATAATACGATTTAACTAATATTATATATTATAAGTTATTTGATTGACGAATATGCGATATTACATATCATCAAATCGCCCAACCCTATTCGCCAGTCATTGATCAATGAGTAACCGCTCGGGACTACTTAGTATTGTCCCGCACACTTACATCACGAGAAACTTTAAAATGTCCCTCAATACTCTTCAATTCCAAAAAGAACAATAATACTATAGACCTTAATTTTTGGCCAGATTTGATTCGATGATCGAAAGTATGTGTGCAATCCTGGAAAGGGGTCTTTTAGATCTTGAGCTTCATACCCAGTCAATTGATCTTTTACAATTTCTTTCTTTACAAAAGTCGTAAGTATCGAACCTCAATGTTTTAGCTATTCATCGATCCGCAATCAAACAATATTTAAGAGCTGAAACTCTATACTGTGTTGAATCAACTATCACTCTTCTGCATTTTCTACTGAATCTGTTGGCAGATCATCATCCCGAGGCAAGCTTGATTTCTGGGAGGCGAAGCAGTTGGAAATAGAGCTTTTACGGTTGCGAATCTTTACGACAACTTTATCAAAGCAAATATCATTGTATGGAGATAAGAGTGATGACAACTCAATGCGGATCGGGATACTCTCTTGCTGTCGAACACGTGGAGGGAAATATGAGGCACAATAATAATGAAGGGACAACAGGCACAGAGTCGGTTCTGGCAGAGCTTGGGGCGGTTGATTTGCTCCGGCAAGACAGCAGGCCCTCCTTCATTGTTGATATGTCGATAGAAAAAGAAGTTTGTGAACTTCCCGTAGTCTTCACGAACGATGCTTTCAAGACTTACGCCAAATTCAAAAGCATTACTTCGTGGCTTTCAGGAAACTCATACCAGGGCGGAAATGCATTTGTCAAATGGATACATACTCGACCCAGCAAGGCAGTCAATCAATATTGGTTCCGGCATCAAAGATGGTCCAAGGTTCTATTAGGAGATCGATGGTGTGTGGTGTCCGGGCATGAGATGGCGTTTTCGAAATCAGCACAGGAAGATGCCGACGTCAATCATTGTAAGCACCTTCAATCGAAACCTGCACCTAATAGGTCTTCTTCGATTGAAAATCGGAGGCAGAACTTTAAATTTCGTCACGAAGACCACTATTCTATCATGATGTCACCCGGCTCACACAACTCAGCTGCAGCTGCTCACGCATTTTTTACGCCCTCTCTATCCTTTGAGACGCCGTTCGCCAAGTTCTTTTGCAGCAAAGATTGGTCTTCTACAGCCGTAGAGTCCATCTCGGAACAGCTCTTAGATATGACGAGTCTAATCTCCAACTTCAGCCAATTGTCTCCTATAGGCATGTTTATTATCGATGCAAAAGACGGAAGCTTAGTATTCGCGAATGATGCCTGGTATGTGTTCAGCTTAGTCTTTCATATTTCCTCATATATGCAGATGAGACGAATCGTTTAATCTCAGATCGTTAGCTAATATGGTTTGTATCAAGGACAAGAATCACAGGCAGGACAATAGAAGAATGTTCAAATCTTAGATGGCTTGACTGTTTGATTGATGAGGATAAAGAATTTGTCGCGGACCAATGGCATACCCTTATAAAAGAGAAATGTCCTGTCCACTTTCAAGGAAGGTGCAAAACACTCTGGAGGCCTACAGTTCCAGATCCTGCCCTATTTGGAGAGGACGAAGTCTACTACAAGTGGGGCGAATGTAGTGCTCTCCCACGACTTAATAACGAGGGGGAGGTGGAGCATGTTGTTGGATGTCTTAGCGATGTCACACACATCAAATGGGCCGCTCAAATACAGGAAACAAGAAAAAACGAGGCATCGAAGGAGAAAAAAGAACGAGAGGAATTCATGAACATGACAAGTCATGAGTTGATGAACCCGCTAGCGGCCGTCGTCCAAGCAGCACACACCATGATCTCCAGTCTTGATGAGATCAATGAAGCTCTCTCTCATACTCATGACAACGTCCTCCATGATGACAATTCGAAGAGTTACGGGGAGATTAAGACAAAGGTACGGCGCAATATTGAAATCGCAAAAATAATCTTAGTTTGTGGAGAGCACCAGCAAAAATTGATGGAGGATGCTCGTGCGATGTCTAAACTGGATATCAATCTGTTTTCAATTTCACCCACTCGAACGGAGCCAATCTGTGTTGTCGATACAGCTATGTCTATGCTCTCTGGAGAAACATCTAAATTAGATATCAATATCCGGCTCGAGGTAGACCCCTCGATAGAAGATTTGAATTCGCAATGGCTTTGCTTCGATCCTTCAAGATTTCTACAACTACTCCTCAATCTCCTAACAAATGCCAACAAATACGCAATTTCATCCGAAACCCGAAATGTAGTGGTGCGTCTTGGAGCCACAATTGGATCCCCTTACCACAAAGAGATCGGGCGAGAGATACAGTACATACCTCTTCGCACAGCACGAAATGACCCGACTTTAAAAGACGCGTCGGGAAAAGGAGAGATAGTGTACCTTCATTGCTCAATTACCGACACCGGCAAAGGACTAAGTGAAACGGAGAGGCAGACACTTTTCAAGAAATTTTCTCAAACATCTCTAAGCACGCATACACAGTATGGCGATTCAAGCCTGGGATTATTCATCTGTAGAGAGCTTGCGGAGTTACAAGGGGGTGCAATTGGTATTGGATATACGGATTCTCAAGCAACGGGTAACACTTTTGCTTTTTATATCAAGACACGACGATCCGAATTTATACCGCCGGGACTACCGCTGGACACATCGGAGGAATCGTCTCAGCTAGATCGCCAATCTTCTATAGGCGACTTCGATGTAGAATCTGATACTGATGATATTTCGATGTCTGAGCTGGACTTTTCAGAGTCCGAGATGACCAATTCCGAGATTCTTAAGTGTCGGGACAATGGACATATCCATAGTGCTAGCTTTCCCTAGTTTTAACGATTTCATGGATTACAATGGTGTATCTAAGATTTCAGTACTTGTATTTTTAATCACTAAGTTGATATTATATTAACGTTTGTATGGATTTGGGTCAGGAGAAAAAAGTCGATGAGAGGGGCGCAGATGGGAGTGTAAGTTTGAATCCTCAAGGGCAGAGTTTGAGTAGAAATCTCGAGTGGAAGAACTAAATCAGAAAAATGTACTAGGCAAGGGACAAGGCAATCACATGCTATGAACCTCTTTCTGAGGTAACATGGAGTTTGGAGACTTGATATCTAAGGCGGATCTTTTTTTTTGGGAAATCTTGGAAGGGAATCTCTGGCTGTGGAAGATTGTGCAGTTGAATGAACGGACTAAGCAGTTTCAGAATGGAGAAGAATGATAAAAAATACAATTACTACTCACCATGTGATTCTCCCATCAAGGTTTTACTTGATGCTAATGTATATTTATCGAGAAGTTACAGTCCAATGCGGTAAGAATATCTTTGGGATAGCACGGCGCCTTACGAGCATGCGCGAAGCATGTGCGATATTACTTGACACGTCGTCTCGATTTTTCAGGTGGACGTCGAATGGTTTCGAATATCGTTTTATCCGCTCATGACAGCCGGGTGAAGATGACATGGATTCCAACGAACATATCTAAGATGTACCTACTCACATTTACCGGCAAGCGAAGTATTGGTGGCGGCTAGGCCTCTCTACCCAATACTCAAAAGACGCTCATCCAAGACTCTCTCAACCTCAAAATTCTTCATGATTGATATATATCTTCCTATTATATCAGATCTCCCCTCTCTCCTGAAATCTCCTTCCATACACCCCCCTGCAGAATCATCTACCTCGCAACGAGTCACCATAAGTGGGCGATCGAAAAAAAAAGATCACCACGACCAGCCGTGCAAACAAACAATTCTAGATCGCATCGGCAGATCACCCTTTTAGGATATATCCGACAGACTAGCCGAATCCACGACCTGTCATCTTCTGTTTTTAGGCTTCCTCTGCACACTCTCCACCAGACATCTCGAAAGATTTTCTCTAGAAAATATGCCATATTCTCAAGATCTCGAGTTGGAGATCGTGAACACTTTATTTTTGATCTGATTTGATGGATCAACGATGCGGGGTTATATAAGTATATTCATATCTCCACGAAGCTCTAAATCGCGTCTTTAAGTTGACATCGATCATTCAATATCTCTGCGTGGATAATATCACTCGGTTACAATGCCAAGTGTAAAAGGAAGAATTATCACTCCGTCTTATGTAGAAAGAGGCACAGCAGGGGAATTTGTAAGGCAGGAGTGGATTCGCCGAGACTTGCATTCAATAGCTTATTTCATGCTTAATTTAAGGTTATGTATGATTCACGTACTATAAGTTGATATTTACCCTTATTGACGCGCAATGTTTTGTTTTTGGTATCGTTTTGTTGTTGTCATTTTTATTATTGCTGTTGGTTGTTGTTGTCGCTGTCGCTGTTGTCGCATTCTCACCAGAATCTTCATTCGTCTTTCGTTAAAAGTTTTTGCCCAAGCGCACAAAAATAAAATCAGAATAATTTGCACGCACTGCTGCCTGCTATTCAAGTCGATTCACCAACCACGACATAAAAATTTAATTCGAGTTTAAGACCATACAACCACACAAATATGAGGTATCTCCTCATAGCCTGCCTTTTCCTGGCCCCAATTCTCGCAGCACCAGCACCCTACATCGTCACAAGCTACGTCGAACTATCCGTATACACCCACCTAGAAGCCGAAACCCTTCTCAGCACCACCTACTCCGAGGAACTCGAAACAGCCACCCATGGAGTCGTTCCAAATGCGACCCCGGTCACAAATGCTATCAAAACATTAACTGACACATCTGCCTATGCACACATTACCATTGTCGAAGTAGTTCTTCCACCCGGTAGCGGTTCCCGACCAACTTACAGTTACGATTACTATGCGACAACCACTGCTCTTCAAACCAGTTTTGTGGTTCCAATAACATACACTCCATACCCCAAGTGTACGGGCACCGCTCAGAACTGGACATATGTAACCACGGTCCCGATCTCCGTCCCCACGATCGTTGCAAGCATTATTTCTCCCTCGGTCCTCACCACTTCTGTTTCAAGATATACATACTACGATGATAGTGTGAGCGCCGCAACATTCGTCAACGCCGTTCTCAATCCCACCGATGTGGCCGCCGATACATTAGCCAGTGTTTCCGCAAACTACGAACCATATTCAATGAGTTATTGCTACACCCCCACAACAACATGCACCACTATTCTCTCCACTGCATCCTGTACTCCCACATGGGTATACCCCGGCTACGATTCCACCTTGGGCAGCGGTGATAGCTCTTCATACTACGATTCGTACACCTGCGACGTGTATTGGTGTGGAGACCGTGCGATTCTGCTGATCATCATCTGCGTCCCCGTCGGCTGGGTCGTGCTTTGGTTACTCGTTGGGCTTTTCGAATCCTGGCTTTCGTTCAAGGGGATCATGTTGGGTTTGAATCGCAAACGAGGAGTTCCGTATGCGTGGTGTTGTATATTGATGCTTTTCTTGTGTTGTACGGGACCCACGTATAGAGCGAAGAGTGCGGAGGAACAGGAACGGTTGAAGGCGCAGTGGAATGAGATGGGTGCGGGTAAGAAGTTGGCGTTGTGGTTTAAGTGGGGGTTTAGGTGGAAGTATCCAGATATGCTGGGAGAGGAACCGGAGAAAAATAAGAGAGCTTTTAGAGAGGGATGTTTGTAGATTTCTCTGTTTATTTTGGATTGCGTTTCGCACGGTGAAGTCGCTTCACTGCATCGAATCCAATATATACATTGAGTTTACTCTCAACCCAGCAATCCCAAGTTATCATTTCGAAAGGGTAAGAAATGAGAGTTGCCTGGATGGACGATAATTTTATGATGACGAAGTCGGTATATACAAAAACAGTTTAGATGTAGATAGACTTAGTGTCTAATTTTTAATTCAATATGTGATTAACACAATAATCACCATCAACTATGTTTTCGGAAAAATGCCTAGCCCTGATTGTAGTATATCTTCCCTGTCCATTCTCCACCCCAGACAAAAAGTCACTAAAATATCATATATAAAGAAAAGAACCTACATCATATCAGTTAAAGCACTCGCTCTCTACCGTCACCCAAATCAAAAGTGAAAACTCCTCAGTTAATCCGCAAGATCTAAAACTCAAAAAACGCTATCTATATAGCCCCGCGAGCAAGCAATTCCTTCACCTATCCTTCATAGGTTGTGCACCGTTCTGAGCCTTTGATCCCATCAAAAAGCAGTAGCATATAGAAGTATTTCCCCCCTAAAACTTTCAGATCTAGATCATTTCCTACAGGGAAAGATTGGCCCAAAGTTCATATACAAAACCAAAACGGACTGCGACAAACCCCCAAGAAACATTTCCAGAATAGCCGGGGAAGCTTCCCCTCAAGTAGATAGGTGAGACACCACCAAGTAAGATTATCTTTAAGCATCAATCATCTCACATCCGGGCACCTCGTCGTCGATATAAGTCATCCCACCAACCTTGCCTCAAATCCAAGAATCCAAGATACAATATCCATACATACATACACCCGAAACGAACACAACAACATCAAGCTCAAAACTAGAACAGTACATTACATTTCTCAGAATCAACCTCCAAGAGAAGTCTTTACAATCCTCAACCACCCAACACACGTGCAACACACGTGACACCTCTCGCATTCGTTCACCAGAACAGTAAAGCGTCATCCGGTCTCCACTACCAACCACACCCCTGTATATCTAGCACATCTACTCGTACAACCACGAAGGAAGTAATCTTGTCAATGGTGATCGTATCACATCACCAATTCCCACTATACGCGCAGCGATATGGAGGTAGCTCCTAGGTAAGATTACATGTTACCTATCCACTTCAAGCGTTTTGATTGATCCGTGTAGGAAATACACAATCCTAATAGGGAAATGGGGAAGTTGTTAGTGTATCTACAAGGCTGAGTACCCGGTACCTATGTAGGTAGCTTTCCTCGCAATCCCGACATGTATGTCTGGAAATGTAGGTGTATTGCGATGATGAATGTTTTGAGTATATATATGAGTATCTAGATAAGTAAATAGTTTTCAGTCCATACCTCAATCTCTTCACTTTATAACATCCAAGTGTTTCGATCTTGTTGTAGATTCATCTACCGATTTTTCTTACTTATTGTTCTAATATACCATCACTACACAACATACCTTTCTTAACAATCCAACCTATCCATGTCTTTCATAATCGAAGGGGCAATCAAAGGCATTGCAGCTGGTATCGGTCTTGCATCCGAGAGTGTGCACGCGCATAAAGCAAAGAAAGCTGGTAAATCTCAATCTCAATCTCTCCGAGCATCCAGTAGCGAGGATGTTCAACATCAATCATCAAGTTCCAATGATGTGGGCATCTCGCATGAAGATTCTACAGCTGTAGAATCCGGCGTCTTGCATGAAAAAAACGATGAACAGATCTGGGAATTGGATGCTGCACAAGATGAGCTTGCACCAGTCGAGACGCAACAAGTTCCCCCCTCAGATCTCACGGTGCAAGAATCCGACGCAGAAACCCAAATCCCCCAAGGAAAAGAGAAACACACCGTCTTCATGAAAGTATTCGTCTCCCGTTTTATCACCAAATATCCCGCCCCTCAATATCCACCCTCCCATTCCATCACCAACAGACTCCCCCTCCCCGTCATCCTCCCCCAACGCCGACCCAAAAGTCGTTCCCGGGGTTTCATCCACGCCTACGCTCCACTCCTCCAGAACTGCGATATCTCAGAAACCATATGGCTAGACTTTCTGCGTACATTTAACGAAGCAACGCAAGCCTCGCCCTGGATCCAATGCATCAATTTTGCCGGATTAGCCGCGCATGGAGTAGCTCCCGGCGTTGCTATCGCCATTCAAATCGCCATTGCAGTTGCGATCAAAGCTGCAAATGAGATGCATTCTCGCCAACGGACAAACTCATTCCTGGATGCGATGAATAACCAATTCTTCCGTCCTCGTGGCCTGTATGCACTGGTATTGACGTGGAATCCGGATGATGGAAACCATACAAGTATGGTTGATATGGCATCTACGATTTCCAAATCAATCGATCCACAAACCGGAGAATCAAAAATGAGGAATAAATTCCACACGTCATCCGGAGATACATATGGTGATTTCGAGTTTCCTGAAGCTGCACCTCTTGTTTTCCCGGCTCTCGATGCGGCTTTAACAAATATGGGATCAGAAGGAGAAGAAAAACTTCGGGAGAAGTTGAAAAGGAAAGGAGATTTTGTATCCAATTACATGGATCGAAGAGCACGGGCACAATACGCGGCGCAGAATCCCAATAGCTTTTTATCAACTGGGCCAAAGGAGAAGTTTACAAGTCGGTATGCGGATCCGAACCATCCAGCTAGTAGTGGAAATCCATGGAGTTTGGTTACAGGTGGGAAGTTCAATCCACCGATGGGAAAAGACTTGATGGCTGCTAGGTTGGGAGGACGGGGTGATGGACTAGGTGGACTTGGTGCTGTATTTGGTGGCGAGCGTTCCTACTTAGGCGGGAGACGAGCACAATCAGATGGCAGGATAGGTCCTCAGCGCGAGGATAGTGGAGAACAGCAAGAGCAGAGAAATAACCCAAGAGAAGGGAATAGACTAAAAGGAGGACTTGGAGGGTTTGGTGGGCTTGGTGGCCCTGAAATCATTACGGAAGGAGTTAGGAAGATTCTGGGTAACGTGAGTACTGTCTAGTTCAACATTCTGAATCCAAGAAAATAGTTGCTAACAAATATCCCAGAATATTCTATATCTCGTGGTAGTAAACATGCCGAGCGATGAAGAAATCGCAACGGCTAGCGCGCAGATTAGAAGTTGGCGTCTTTGAGAATTTGTGACTTGGAATTGCATATGAGTATGCAGAAGTGACATCTGTGAGGTGCAAGACGGACGCAATTGAGAAGAAGAGCATATATGGTTTAAAATTCGGATTCAATCTACCATCTTCCCCACATTCTCCATATAGCAATGAGACAGTGCTTACTACCAGACCCGTCGTTCTGGTAATTAATCACAAACTATGGGAGGTGACTTACCACTCAATGCAAGCCACATCACATTTGTCTACAAAGCCCATCCACATATCACGTGCTAATGGATACGTGGCGCAAATATGTAAGACGTCATGTACCCATGATCATATCATCTCACCACTAGAAAGATATGAATGAAGGTAAATTTGATTTGTTGCACATCTCATTGTTGCACCGAGTGATGGGATGAACTTGTCCTGCTAGGGTAGTGAACTGGCGGTGTAGTGATGCGGATTGATTGGGAATGAATCGTTCTAGTGGAGCTTGTGTAACATGCATGGCGATCCAAGTCTAGAACATGTCTTGATCTCTCGAGCACGAGATAAAGATGTATGATTTAGAAGTAATTCGCATTTCCAGCATAATCTCCCTTTGTGCCTGGGAATGCACCAACTGGTGTTCCATTGTTATCCTCATCGGAGCTGTTGTCCTCTTCGTACGTATCTGCTCGATCTGGCGGAGCTCTCATGCTCTCAAGGACTTGATTGTCAAGACTTGGAGGGTTGTAAGATTTTAGTGTATGCATTTCCCGTCCAGATGGTAGTGCTGAGATGAGCGTTCCAATAGAAGGTACGAGCTGTGTGCCAATCTGTGCCAGTCATTAGTATTCGGTAATGTAGAGAATAGAAGGATGCAGCTTACAGTGTCATTCACCTTCACCCACTTCTTCTCCAGCATTTCTAGAACTCTACCCTCCTCCGCTTTCCCTGCATCACTTCCCCAATCCTTCCCTTTTTCAACTCTACGGTCCTCTCTTTTCTCAGTCCATTCTTTCCTTAATCTCCCAAACCCCATCCCGGAGGATTTCTTTCCATCATCTCCCACCGATATGCCCAGCTCACTCAAGCCAGCTCTCAGCCATCCAATACCATCACCTGTCTTCCCTCCTAACTCCGCATCCACACCAAAAAATCTACAGGCTTTTCCTCTTCCTACTCTTCGCAAGTCTTCAACATATTTTAACAACTCGGCATCAACCTTTCCCTTTCCTCCATTGCCCATTCCACCTAGCATGGCTACAGCATTGCCCGCATGATCGGCGGCTGCAAGACATAATCTCGCAAACAAATGAGCACGAACTTTGGGCATCTCAGGAGCCTTAATCATCCATTCTTTATCATTTTTGTTACGATCTTGCTGCACTGCTGCTGGATATGGATCATCTTTCAAAACCGCCAGTAATGTACTTTCGGCCAATGCTAAGCTACTGAGGGCACGAAAAACTGGAGTTGAGATATCAGGACAAGGTGGTGGAGAAGTAAGACTCGTTGAGCGAGAAAACAGATAGTTATGAATCGAACCGGCTGCTAGTAATTGCTCTGTAGCAGCTTTGATACATGAAGTTCTTTGTTCAGGTGATGGTGACGCTGTCGCAGATGAATAGAGTGGATGCAATGAGGATCTTGAAAGAAGAACATGAGTGTAGGCTAGTGTTGAAAGAACGAAGTAAATCTCATATTCCAAACTCTGTATTTTCAACCTTGGAATTTCTCTGCCTGGTATTGGCGGATCTGAAAGTGTTGGGCGCCATTCTAGAGTTGGCGTTGAAGTGAGGATGATATCTATGTGTTCTGCTCCAGGATCAAATTGAGACGATATGCCAGAGTCGATAGCTAAGAGGTATGGGATGTAGTTGTTGAGTGCTTGGAGAATAGATGAAAGATTTGAAGATTGCTGTGAAGGACTAAGTCGTTTATGCTTCTTCAGCACATCACGAAGGACCCCTCTATAAGTGCTTGCGGCTAAAGGTAGCGAGGGATGTGAATCGCTTGTGAAATATGATGAGAACGAAAACGAAGATGTTGTGGGAAGCTCAAGTGGGAAGGGCATGATTTAATTTGTTGATGCGAATCAGTAGAATGCCTGCGTGAAGTTCAATACTACCACCACACGTGACTCTTTGAGACTTGTAATAAGTGTTCGTAAACAGTGGGACTCTTTGTTATTGCTGTTGGAGAGTAGGTAGTCTTGTAGCTATTGCCGACTTTCTTAGCCTCATCAATCTGTATCAAACGAATGAGGATATAAATTGGAGAATCAAGGAGGAAGGGGTGGTGGTGAGAGTGCTGTTTGAATGGTCGGACCGTCGTTTTGAATTTGGCGGGGCAATGATATTGAATGCATTCGTGGCTTTTTGAGATGACCGTAGCAATTTACCTTGTCCCACCATATGTATTATTGATTGGAGTTTTACCTTATCAAATGCGACCAATTCATTTTCATCTACGTCATCTTTGTTACTAGAAAATGCTGCTTGTTAGACTGGGTAGACCACCACCAAGTAGGTAAGGAATGAATGATATTCAAGAGTAAGCAAATTTCAATTTATCCATTTCCTCATCCTCAACAACTATTTACATCAAATACTCAAACGTCGGTACTCGAAAATACATTGAATACTCTTCTCATATCAAAACCAAGCTTCAATCCTCTCTATTCACGCACTTCACTATGTCTGCATCTCAGAATCAATCCTCACTCAACTCCACCCCCGCCGGTACAACTTTTGGTCCCAACTCCGGCGCACCATCATCCACAGCTACTCCTGGGATGTCAGTAGGATCAGCTACAGCAATGGGTCATGGCGATCATCCAAAAGATAATGCGGACGACAGTAATGCCAAATTATCGAGTTCCAAGGTCGGACCTCAACAGGAGGATTTAGAAGGAGAGCAAATGAGAGCCCCAGGTGAAGGAGATGTCATGGCTGCTCAATTCGACAAGAAAAATGCTGGCTGGGGAGAGGAGGGTAGTTATACAAGCGATTTGGACAGACAAAAGGCAGAGCAGAAGGAGGCTAGAGAGAAGATCAAGAGTCAACGAGAGCAAGGCATCGATGTAGATGGAGGTGCAGGTGGAAGACTTGAAAACGAAGGGCTGGGATCCGTTTGAAGCGAATTGAAGACCTAAATTCAATCCTTGTAATCATTTTGGTGGTTTATCCACTCAGATTCATGGTCCCTCTTTCTGCAAAATGTGATTTCCCACGATCCCACCTTGCCATATGGCCGTGTATTATATCTGTCAAAGAACCCAAACTCCGTCGCCATGCCCGAAATTCAAAGCGACCATTCCTTCATGATATTAAAACTCCATATTTTCCATAACTTGATCCCCGACAGAACTCAGAGCTGAAGATGCCTCTCTAGTGGAAGGTGTTTCCTCAATCTGCTTCGGTATTGGTTTCATTCGATCTGCCCACTCTTTCACACTTGTAATCTCTCCTCCCTCAACTTTCACTATTCGAGGTTCGGCAGGTCTTCCTAATAATGTGCCATGATATCGTGAATCCTCATCGGTTGTGTTATGCTTCTTTTTGAGAGCTATATTCTTTTAGTTCTTATTCACAACCACATGAAATCAATGAAGAAAGAAGGAGAGCATACCAGTCAGATAGTCTTCCCCTCCATCTGCTAACGCAATCCTCCTAATCTCTTTATTCCCTTCCCCCATGGCCCAGGCTATAAATCCTTCTACACCTCTCATATCTTCTTCGCCATAGAATTCTTGTTCTTCTATTGCCTTCTCTGGCATAAGAGCTCCACAATCTTGCATGGCCATTCGCACATCTGAAATCGTTATGTCGAGATCCGCATGGTTTAGATCGGCATGCGCTGCTGTTGATTGCGCGAGTATGTACATGTAACGAGCAGCTAAATCGGTTATGGTATCGAGAACTGAGGATCGCGTTGAGTGATAACCGGCTGCGCGAAGAATATGTAAAATACATGGTCGAAGGAGGGCATGATGAAGAGCTTGAGGTGTTGCCATCTTAAGTTTTTGATTTTGAATGACGAAAAAGTCGGGATCAGGGTGCGAAGAGACTAGATATTATCATGGTTGCATGTCGCAGAGATTATATAGTTGATTAAATAAAAGGTCTCTTGTATTTCACCGTAAAGCGCAAAAGGTGAATGCGAATTTCCATTTGTCGCATAAGTGAAATGGAAAACGCGGCTGCGCGATTGTGCTACCGGGTCTCCGTATAATTCTCGAACTGGAGCTCCATCCATTTGATCAATTCAACATCTTAAATTCTTGGATTCATAGAACTACGACAGACAACGAATAAACTCTTGTTTTGCGATTTTTATAAATTTTCACTCCCACCGATCTTGCGACACGAATAGCCTATTTTTGGAAAGAGCGCACAACTACGAGGATACACCGCCGATATGAGCGGCCCATTAAAGCTAAAGTTGAGTCTCAAGACAAATGGAGGAATGAATGCATCGCCGGGACCTTCTACACCTAACACACCATCAGTTTCCACACCTGGCGGATCCAAACCAAAAATAAAGATCAGCAGTAAACCTGCGGGATCACCCCCTCTTCCATCTGCGTCTAGCTCATCGCAACCAAAGCCTACAAAAGCAGGTCGAGCACCTAAACCCACACAAAAGCTCGCAGATTCGCGCAAGAGAGTTAAGAAAGAAGACGATAGTGGCGATGAAACCATCTCTGTTATACCAAGGAAACCGAACCTTCACGATGAACCTGCGAAGAAGAAAGTCAAGATTAGTATCAAGCCAAAAACGCCTTCTATGGCTGGTATTAATCATGGACTTCCAAAGACACCAGTTATGATGAAGGCTAAAATCAAGGGCAAACCACCGAAAAGACCTCTTGGAGAAGGCTATGACTCTGAAGCCAGCGATACGGAGAAAGACCCTTCCATCGAAGAAGCGTTTATCTTTCGAATGATTCCCGGTGACGATTGTGACTACCTACGAACATGCATCGCCGAGAAAAAAATGGGTGTCAATCCAAAAGTCGGAGGTGCAGATGTGCAAATGAAATTCTTTCATGCCGAAGGTAGACGAGCTGCTGTTATTATCCGTGGAAACGTCTATGCTGCTACTCTTGTCGACTTGCCATGCATCGTTGAAGGAATGAAGAGTTGGGATAAAAGAGGATGGTATAAAAGTGCGGATATATGTCAAATGCTTTGGATTTATCAAAGGGTCGAGGATGAAGATGAGGCCAAAACAGCTCCCTTGCCCTCAATTATCGATCCACAGACTTTTCAATATCCACATGGTCTCACTGCTCCAATGCATTTGGCACGAAAACGGCGTTTTAGGAAACGTATTAGTAGAACTGCGATCGAGGCTGTAGAGGAAGCTGTTGAGAAACTTCTTGAAGATGACAAAAAGGCTGTATCTTCAGAATACAAAGTTATTTCCCCAGAAAGAGAACAAAGTAGTCAAGTGTTCAGTCCAGGAAGTTATGGTGATGAAGGAGAAGATCAATATTCCGAAGATGAAGATGCTGAAGGAGAAGCCGATGATGGTGGTTACTTCTCTCAAATTAATAACGGCGATGGTGCCGTGTCTGGGGATGAAATGGGCGGGGATCTCGAAGCTGATCTCGCAGCAGAGATGGAAGCCGAATTGGAAGCAGGGGCAGGCTTTGAAGATATTGCTGCTACTCCCATGTCTATGTCAGGTGTCGCAGCCACTCCTATGCTACTAGGCGAGACCCCAGCTCCCAACGAAGAAGATGATAGCGGTGATGAATCAATTGAAGATGGGGAAAGTGGAGATGAAGGAAGCGAAGCGGATGATGTTGATGACGATGAAAAAGCACGCCTGGCCCAGCTTCAAGAAGCCAAAGAAGATATCGTGGATTTGGAGAAACAGATTGAAGGCCTCCAAGCACAATTGGCAGCTCAGAACAATCCAATTCTACGCAGGAGAATCGAAGATAAATCCAGAAAGCTTAAGGCTGAGTTGGAGATCAAGAAATCTTCGATTGGGGAGGCAGAGGATGATTAGATACTTTTCAAAGGTCACTAGGTCTTGGGTTTATGTACATTTAGGCGTTTTCACAGAAGATGGGGCGGGACCTAAACAGCATTCGGCGCTGGCTGGTTATCTTTGCTTGGGTTGGAGACTTGGCGTTGGGTCATTTTGAAATGGATGGAGTGCCCAAAAGCATAGTCTCAATTTGGAGTTTGAGCTGGTTGGCATTGCATGGTGCCACGCTGCAACGGTGCATTTAATGTCAGGAGAAATGGCGAGCTACTATCAAATAGGCAGCGTCATGAATACCACAAACATGTTGGTCGACATAACGATAGATGCCTTATAATACAGATTCTTGTCTATAGTATCCTTACACAGATGTGATATAAATTTACATCTTTCCTCATCTCTTAGTGCCCAATCTTCATGGCTCTAGCTGTGTCAATTGCATGTGTCTTCTTGACTTGAGCATCTCCTATCTGCTTTATACTTTTTACAACATGCTATCCCACGTGAAGACTCCTCATTGAGCAGTACTTCAACATCAAAGATTTCAAAGCTCTCAAACAATGCCCCAAGATTAAGCCCAATCCGCACCCCATTCCCCCAAAGGAGTGTATTGATTTTCCCACCTATGCACAATCTCGAATTTACATTCCCTTCAAGTAATTACCCTCCTTAATCTTTGCGCGACGCTCCTTCCTCATCGCCTTTACCAAATCTCCTCGTTGTTCTAATGCGGTTTCGCCTTCACTAGACAAATCGACCGATTGTTGCTGCAGAGGAACCTTTACTTCGAGCAGAGAGGTGTCGCCTGAGAGAAGCGCGCGTTCATCTGCCTTTCTGCGAGCTTTGGCGGCGGCACGACGAAGTTTTTTAGATTTTGCTAGAGAGGGTGTTAGTCAATTCGAGATGCGATTGGGAAATGGGGAAAGGAAGGGTGGATGAATAGGAATAAGATAAAAAGATTAGAGAGCGTACAGAATTCATCGCCTCCCGCTGCGGCTCCCCCATCAGCAGCTTTCTTCTCGTCTAAACAGTGCCATAACCATTCTGGATATTCTTCTTCTTTTAAGGCGACGGGGTCATCTCTTCCTTTGAGGAAATTGAGGCCCTGGAGGATGGTGCCCGCGGGAATGCTGGATGTAGGTAAGGGAGTTGATTTTTTGGTTGGGGAAGGGTGGGAGGAGATTCCTTGGGCGGCGGGGGAGGGGGGGGGGGGGGTTGAGAAGGGTTGGGCTGCGCCGGTGGAGGTTGCGGTTGGAGGGCCGGCGGTGCGAGGTGAGGAGGGGGTGGATGTTGGGGGGGTGGAGGCGAGGAGAGGTGTGTGCGAGAAGAGACGGGTTTGTTGGGTGAGAGGGAAGGACCGACGGGTCAGACAGCGTGAACAAATCATTTTGAGAGAGGATTGGCTGTGTAGCTGAGATATGGTGGGTTTATTTTTTGTGCTGGTGCACATGGAGATTTATTTTTTGGGATAGCTACGGGTACCTGGATGGACCGGGTGTGCTGCTGATATCAAATTCTTTGGTGGGGTGTTGCGTGCTGGGTGGATATGTAATGGAAATGGATTATCTATTTTGCTATGTCCATAATTGGGATTGAGAATGACATGGAGAATTGTTCATGTAAATAATTGAATCCTCTCTTATTAACTGTTATTTTGGTAAATCTTGAGGTAAGTGTGTAAGATGAGATGTGAGATTTTTGAAATCCCACACAATGTAAAGTACATACTGGCTATGTCATTCTCATACATCAAAATCACAAGTTTAGGGAAATAGACTGGTTGTACAATGTTTCATATTTACAGTCCCGTTAGTAGACCTTTCTCAGGTCTCTATTTTTGGGGCAAAATGCTCTGAAGCTTCCTGGATTTTGGTATATCTTCAGTATTTGATTCCAGATATCCTGCCTGCCTGAAGCCGCACTCAGCTCATTCAAGCATAACCCTCACCCAGCATGATATCGCTCTCGCCATCTTCTCATCGCTCATCCCCCCTTCGCTCAGTAAAACCCTCATAATATATCTATTAAGCCTTGCTGAAATGGTTTTGTTGCTCGAACAGGTAACCTTTAATCTTGGACTCCTTCAATAACTCGAAATAACGATCTGAGAGAAAGGATTAGCCCCAAGATCTATAAAAGGCCCCTCCTGGAAAGCCAATTTTTTTGTAAAACTGAAGGAACGGATTCCGCTTCAAAAAATGCGTAGATTATTCCAATAGTATAGTATTAATCCTCACCTCTTAATGCACCACATTTTTCCAAATGATTAACTCCCTCCTTGTAATAGCATTTCCCCAATTCCTCTCTGACCAAACGCGCCATCATGCTCTTAACCCATTGTTCTCTAATAATCGCATCTTGTGCTTGCTTCAATCGTGCTGTATCATCATAATCGACACCATCGAAAGTTGGAGGGACAGTAGGTTTCTTCGCGAGGAATGCGGCAGATTCGGGAGTTGGTGCCATTGTGCAGAAATTGAATTATGGGTATGAGGAGGGTTATAGGATCAATAGGTATATGGTCAATCGAGTAATGTGGATCCAATAGTAGAGTTGAGGTGGTCGACGTCTTTCACAAATGCGTTTGTAATGAAGCTATTTTGATTGTTTGAGCTCAACAACGAAAGTCACGTTTTATTATGGATCGGGTGAATTTTAGTGAACGAGCAAGACTTGCCGAACTTGCTTCGGCTCCTTCACTGTTCGAAATGCTTAACTAATCACTCGAGCTGATAGACCCACTCCCTCGAGACCCTGAATCCACTCTCCAGATAAAAACCTTTTATCACTCTAGCGCAATTGAAAAAAATTCTCGATAAGAGCTTTTCTTCAAACCTACTTAAACTTTTCACTCTCCCAAGTTTTCAAATTTTCTTTTTCAATCGTACATCCTTTTCAACTCAATACTTGTATCGATTCATCAGTCTTTTGATTAAAAGATATCAATTTCTTCATATCCTTCTTCAAAAACACTCAATTACTTCCATCTACTTCAAGAAGTAAATCATTCAAAATGGGAAAGACCAAGGATACCAAGGTTGCTAAGGCTTCCAAGAAGACTGAGGTCAGACTACCACTCTTAACTGTCAAGAATGCGGCAGTCGTTAAACCATCTCAATCAACAAAAGCTAAATCTAAACAGACCGCAAAGGCTACTGCCACCAAGGCCGCTAAGCCAGCTCCAAAGCCAGTCAAGAAGGCTGCCACCCCATCCTCCGACAGCGAATCTGGTTCCGACTCTGATTCTTCTGAATCTGAGGAGGAGAAGCCAGCACCAAAGGCCACCAAGGCTAAGGCTAACGGAAAGGCTGCTAAGGTCGAGAAGAAAGAGGTAGAATCATCCTCCTCTGACTCCTCATCTTCGTCTGAATCCGAAGATGATTCCTCATCATCTGAATCCGAAACTAACTCTAAATCCGCCGCAAAGACTGCCAAGAAGGCTGCTGCTTCTGAGAGCGAAGATAGTGACGACTCAAGCGACTCCGAATCCGAGGAGGAGGCTAAGCCAGTTGTTGCTGCTGCCAAGAAGGTTCAAAAGGTTGTCGATGCCGGTAAGGCAAAGGTCAACGGTGCTGCTAAGGCTGTTGCCAAGGCTACTGTAAGTAACATCAATCTATCCAACAACCTTTCATAACTTGAACTGCATACTAACATCTTTATAGGAGGATTCTGATGACTCCGATAGCTCCGACTCCTCTGAGGAGGAAGAAGAGAAGAAGGAATCTGGATCTGACTCCGACTCCTCCGATTCCGACAGCGAGTCTGCCAGCGAGGCTGAGGCCGAAGCACCATCCAAGAAGCGTAAGGCCGAGGATGAGCCAGAGGCTTCCACAAAGAAGTCCAAGACTGAGGAAGCTGTTGAGGATAACGGAAGCAAGAACTTGTTCGTTGGTAACTTGAGCTGGAACATTGATGACGAGTGGCTCTACCGCGAGTTCGAGGAGTTCGGTGAGATCAGTGGCGCCCGTGTCATCAGTGACAAGGCTACTGGACGCTCCAAGGGTTTCGGATACGTTGAGTTCGTCAAGTCAAGTGATGCTGCTGCCGCTCTTGCTGCCAAGAAGGGTGCTCTCATTGACGGTCGTGAGGCCAACGTTGACTTCTCCACTCCTCGTGACACCACCGCACCAAGAGAGCGTGCTAACAACCGTGCTGCTCAATTCGGTGATGCCAAGAACCCACCTTCCGACACCCTTTTCCTCGGTAATCTTTCCTTCGATGCCGATGAGAACGTTGTTGGTGAGGCTTTCGGTGAGCACGGTACTGTCGTTAACGTCAGACTCCCAACTGACCAGTAAGTTAATCCTCGTCCCATATCCATCTACACATACTAATCATCACTAGGGAAACCGGCAACCCCAAGGGTTTCGGATATGTTACCTTCGGTTCCGTTGAGGACGCTACTGCCGCTTATGATGCCATGATGGGTGCTGATATTGCTGGTCGTCCAGTCAGACTTGACTATGCTACTCCTCGTCCAGAGCGCAGTGAGGGTGGTGGCTTCGGTGGCCGTGGTGGTGGACGTGGTGGCGGTGGACGTGGTGGCGGACGTGGTGGTGGACGTGGTGGCTTCGGTGATCGTGGAGGACGTGGTGGTGCTCGTGGTGGTGCCCGTGGAGGTCGTGGAGGCAGCACTAACCGTGGTGGTTTCGGTGACTTCAAGGGAAAGAAGATGTCTTTCGAATAAGCTGATGATATCATATGAGGGTTACCATTGTCTGTCCGTACTTTGTCACATGTTGAGTATTCTTTTCGAAGATGCTTTCATGTTGATATGTGGGTCGTTGGCTTTGTGGGTTGTGGGCTCTTGACTCTACTCCTTATGGAGAATGTGGCTATTGAGACATACCTTCTGCTTTCTCTGGATCGTTTCATTGGAAGAGAAGTTTACAACTTGTGGGCTTGATTTACGTGGTCGTCGGCTTGTGGCTGTCCCTTTTAGGCTTTTTGATCGGTTTCATCGGGGCGTTTAGGTAAAAACATTGTGGTCTATGGCTTTGAACATATTAAGAGGTTGGGTATGATCCTTTCTTGTATCTTTGGATACCTTGAGAGGGGACTAAACTTCATGTGGGCTTTCCGAGGGCATAATGTAAAAATTATTTCTTTGGTTGGGTGGAATGGTTTATGACAAATATTACCCGGTTCTTTGCGAAACGACTCGCTAGACCAACTGTATTATATGGTGAGTATTTTGCAACTAGTATCTTCCCCTGCTGTTGCTGTCTTATTTTACAACTCAAATACAATAATACTTTACAATACCTTTTATTTTATCATGATCTGTGAGATGTGAACTTTGAATATGTTTCAACTACTTTTGCAAACTATCGTTGTGGTTGAAGGCCCAATTGAACTGTGCTGGTGTTCTAAGGGCATCTACATTTTACTGATGGTTGGTTGACCATAATATCAAAGGCCAAGTAGATCGAAATCTGAATTCTCAGATGTCATCGAATTATTATTATTTCCATCTTCGTCTCTTTTACTTCATCTATAATCTCTTTCTAGTTTCTATAGCTACTCCTATCCTCCATTTCCTTTCCCTTCTCCTTTCCCCTCTCTTTATTGTCCTCCTCTCCTTCGCTTCTCCCTCCTTTTTCATCATGTTCACTTCTTTCTCTTCTTTATAAGTTTCAATCCTTGAAAATGAATAGTGGTATACAGAAACTCTGTTGTTTTCAACTTTAATAATTGGGGCTAGAAAGTCAATTGAGGATGGAAAGAATTTGAAAGTTTGCAGTTGTTCATTCGGAGTTTTCTTGTTTATGTTGGGATATTGTTGAGTTTGGTTGGTTGGGAGAGGGGAAGGGGGGAAGGGGGAGAGAGGGAAGAAGTAGGGGATGAAGAAGGGGAGAATAGATGCTTGGAGACTTTTTGAGGTTTCTTGAGGGACTTGGTCACCTACTTGTCCATTCTGAGGGTTCCTGAAATTATGCGATCAAGAATACTACTTCTTGGCTATTGATCCCCATGGGCTAACACTCTAATGATCATAAATAGTTGCCAGAGTTCTCTGAATACCTGGTTAGTATTATGATCAACATTGTTCGTTCCAATTTTTTCATGTTTGATATTTAATGTTCTGTTTCCAAAGAATACATCCATTAAGGCTACTCAGTCTTTCTGGAAGGCTGGGTCAAAAGATCAGTACGTTCTTCGTTGATGTCAATACAAATTCAATTTTATTTGTTTTTCTCCCGCCATAGTTCATCATATTTTCAAAATCTTGTTCGCATAGGTATGATTGAGATTTTTTATTCGCATACTGAAAAGCCATAGCAACTCTCACAAGATCAGACATACAATTAACCTAGCTCTCAAAGAAGACAAACCCGAGTATCTGCCAACTAAACAGTCTATTTTGTTCGAAAGAGGTTGTTGGATATGATTATTGCAATCCAGTATTGTAAAGATGTGGTGAGGCTTATTGTTTGATAGGTAGGTGCATTTGATTGGCAGATGGATTCTTTTACTTGGCTATTGTTAGGTATCATTGATCTCTTACAGAATGCACCTTCCTATTTCATTCTCGATTTAAGACAGCCTCTTTGCTGTTGCTGAACACAGACTCTTCTATCCAATATCCGGATATCAACGAACGAGTACATCTCAACAAACAACGACAAATCATATCATGCTTGAGAACTCAGCCTGGATGTACTGCATGTTCACAGCCTCACTCTACATCTGCTCATACTAACAGATCAACAGATTTCCTCTCAACAACAATAGATCGTACCATGGTTGAGATTCAGCCTGAATATAGTACTTCTTCACAACCGCACTCTGCATCTGCTTATATTGGCAGGGCGCAACTTCTTTCCTTCTTGAAAAGGCTGGTTTGATAGCAGTTTATGACACCTCCTGTGGGTGGTGTGTATTCTTCATCGTTGTACTAATGGAGAACCCGGTTGATGTGCCTGCTTACCCCACTACGATGGTAAGGTGTATAATGAGGGCGTTGTGTCGCAGGACTCAGCCATGATGAATGGATATAATAATCGTTTGGTATTTAGAGAATCCAAAACGATTCCATCTTGAATCGAATTCAATTTGAACAAAAAATGCCTGCGATAGCGCCGATAAAAGGAAGTGCATGCTTTTGGAGCTGCTGTTGGTGCAGGGATTACTCTGGTAACTATACCAGTACTGGAATGACAATAGCAACTATCAACTGTCCCGGATGCGGCCATCTTCGATGCAATGAGTGCCAAGCTGAGTGGATCAAAAAACATTCATCAAGTCCAACTTCACAACGTGAAGATACATCTTCATCAGATTCCACCTCAAATACCAGATCTACGAGGGCTGCAGGATCTAGAGCCCGGGATGGAGGCAATAGCAGAGGGAGGCAAAGTGGGAGCGGAGATAAAGGTGGTCAAAACCCGCAGTCAGATGTCGTCCTAGAGTCTACGATCGATTCAACAATCAATGCGGCATTGTTGCAAGCCGCTCAGATATCTGGTTCGGCTAAGCTCAGCCCAGGCTGGATCCCTCAAAACACCGACGCATCTAAGCGGCAAGAGGGAAAAGCTAGGAATCTCGATACTTATCATCATAATGTGAACATGGTTGATACTCCCAAGAAAATCGCTAAAAGTTCCGACGCTGAAAAAAAAAGGATTTAAAGAAAGTGGCATTTCCAGTCTTAAATGAGGATCTTCCGATTTACAAGGTCCCCGGAACTCGCAAAGCCCTTGGGGTACACCAGCATTCTCCGAATGTGCACTCGACCTCTTCATCGAGGACCCCAATGTCTATTCTGAACATATCACTCTCCTTGAACACAGAATACTTCAGCTAGGACAAAACACCTTCGAGAACATAGAAGGAGATAACGAGAGTGAGCGATACGTATTGTATTTGCGAAAGTTAGGTCATGAAACGGAAGCCTCCACGCCTTTTAGCCCAACTTCTGATCAACAGCTCAGAATAAATGACTACATCCAGCTTCAGGCGTCAATGAGTGTAGAAACGTTATCTTCAATAATAAAAGGAACGCAATTGCTACAGGATGAAGGATTCTGCAACAGCTCCACGTATAATATTATTGTGGCAGATAAAGATCGTCCAAAAGTTCTCAATGTTCGACCGATTAGTATGCCCAGCTTATCACTACTGCTCGACCTTCTCCATGAGGTGCAAGAACTCATACAGAAAAAAGACAATCAGCAACGAGATTCGGTTTTAGAGGATGTAGCAGAGATATCACTGCACATTGTTGAGAGTCTTGGCCTAGGTATTCCTCAAACTGTGTTAGCTGCGGATAAGCACAATATAGAACGACAGCAAGACATTTGTCATTTATTGAGTTCCATTCTAAGCGTTGTACATATCGCATTACTATCATTCGTCAGGTCGCATCTTGATAACTCTGGGTACACGCCGAGCGGGTCATTAAGTGACGGGTTACACATCGAATTTCCTGGAGGTACATTGTTCTTGACAGCCCGGCGATTGAAGTGCCTAAATGGTCTCCTCAAGCAGCCAGTTTGGGCAGTGGGCTTTATTCCCAACGATTCGAAGTTATCAAAAGTTGAATGCGATGGGTTTTATCTTTCTTCATCTATAGATCATCTTGCAGAGCTATGGGGTCCCCTGAGACTTGATAGTACCGGGCCGTCGACTGCTTCGTCGATTGAGACTCATGGCGGTAGAATCCTGAGCGCCGAACATCACACATGTTCAGTTCAACCACTGGATTCTGAGGTGCTCTGTCATTGGTCTAGTTGGATGGAGACGAACTCACTTGAAAACACAACTCCCATCGACACAGCTAAACTCCTCTTGATTGGCGTAAGAGACCTTCCACAAGCTGCCAGAAGACGTGTGAGCTCCCCCAAGTTTCATGACATAGTTCGTGTAATTGCCCTGATAAATATATCTCTCAGCCTCGCCATGGCGAATTTGAGCTTGCTACCCGCCCTCCCAGTTGGAAGCTGAACGAAAGAACCGTGCAGGCTTCCGGTGGCCAATACTTGAATATTACCTTGGGATTCACGTACAAGTTTGATGCAGGCTGGACTTTGAAAGATGTGATACTTGAAGACTGGGTCGACGCTGGCAAAACGGATGTATCACATATGCCCAATCCATATTTAATGGATTGTCTTGTCGTCTTGAACTTTAGTTGCTGTGCTGGGCATGCTAGAAGGATTAGCTTGTGGGCACTCCTTAAAGATCCTGCTATTAAACAGTTTCTCTATCAGGAACACGCGAATGGAATGACCGAGTTTGGGGACATCACGAGCATGTATGGTGGTTTAGTTTCTGCTAGTTCGTTATCCTCAATTTGGACAACGATCCCGTTCGCCCAGAAACAGCTTCTGATATCTATCTTCAAAGCGATATTAAAGATACTAAAATTCACGGGGATTAGAGACGATAAACAGTTACAAGCATGGGATGCTACTGCTCGAAATCGTATAGATGGTAGGAGACTTGATCCTCAGTGGTCATCTTTCGTCAAGGATGATAGTAACTCTGCTACGTTCGCTGTTATCACAAGGAACAGCACAAGATACAGTCAAAGTAATGATCAAGCATTGACAGATACCGTTCTTCAAAGCCAACTGTGCGTCACAGCAGCACAGAAAATAAATAAGAGTCTCGTGGCTTCCGAAAAAGATCCAGAAACGCAAGAATATCAGTCAAGCTCGTCGGCTACGTTCTCATCCAGATAGACCGTTAACAGATCTCAACCGATGGATGTTCAACCTCGTCAATCGGCAGGCAGATATCAAGCCATGGATACTGACTCCCAACAGCCACCTCCTGCGGTCCAAAATGATGCAGAAAAGACATTGCTGGCGCGTATAAGAAATAACCAGAGGGGAAGACAGATAGAATCTGATGTGGCATCACAATCATCTTTCACTGGAAGTGATCCATTCCCATCCCGAAAACGTCTAAAATCTGGATCCTACAATATTTCACTCTCAGCCATAAAGCATCCCCCCATTCTCCCTATACGCAACGGTTTAGGCCAAAAAATTGGAAAAATATTCTTGGAACCAGCGATTCCTATCGATCTCACTTTGCTCACCCGCAAAAACCACCCTGCAAGCCAAATGGGAAGAACTTTCCCGAATGAATTTAATTGAGAGTCTCAGAGAGAAAGAAGCACAGCTGGATAAGAGTATTAGTAGCTGGATACGAAAATCGAATGGATTCATCCCGAGCCTAATAGGACGCATTGCTCCTTTGGAGGAAAATTTGAGTCCACTTAATGTGGTTGAATATGTACGACCGGGAGATTTGACGGCAAATCAGAAGTTGGTTATCATTTATATTCATTAGAGCTTTTCTATGTGAAGATTTTTCAAGGGGCTCGGAGGACTTAAAAGTTGAAGTATAGATTTTTCGTCACAGTAACAACAGTATTCCTTACTTGGCGACCTTTAAGTATATAGAAGGTTTTATGATTCAGTGTATAAACCTCAAGTCTCGCTCCTGAGTACACATCATTGTCTCAAGACCTACACTGCGATTTGATGCTTCTCCTGACTGTGATATTTTCAAGGTCGGTTCGAAAATATGAGGATGACTACCGGATGCCGTATACCGGGAATTCATCGGTTATGTACCCCACAAAGTCCAGAAGTCTTGATGTCAGTTGTAGGGCTAGTGCTGGTTAGTTACCTAGTAGTCAAATTTAGTAGTAGGGTGATTTTTCCTCTTCTCGTTCCTTCTCTTCTCCTTTTCTTTCTGTTGTTTCCATCATCCAATCATCATTACGACCAACTGTCTCAGTGCTCATCTCATTTGCCAATCTATCCCTTCTCCATCTTACATCTTATCCACTCCAGGGATTTCTTGTGCATAGCAAGAGCATAGAAACCAGCATGTTTTCAAGACTACGATCCAAATTATCTCGAGTCTCAAGTCCGGATAAAGAAGAAGGCACGATTTATCAAAAGGTCAACGATGTCGAGAAGGAAATTCAATCACAATAACAATAACGAAACGAACAATAGTACACACCCGTCTCCAAGAAAGCGCAATGGATCCATCGACAGTCTAGAGAGAAGAAGCTTTCTCCTCAATCTAATGAGGCAAAATGTCAACCATGACGAGAAGGAAATTCAATGCAATCGCAATAATGAAACGAAGAAAAATACACAACAGGCTCTAAAAAAACGCGACACATACTTCAACAGCCCAGAGAGAACACGTTGTCTCCTCAATCTACTGAGGCATGATCCGAGGGATGATAATCTTCCACCCTACTCCTCCACTCAAAATTTACGTCCGAATTCGGGACTTCCTAATCAACAAGAATCATCCATGAAGGGAAAAGAAATTAAGAATGACAGGCCTCCCTCTTACGATTTACCTGAGAATATGAGTTCAGCATCCCGTTGTCAGTATATCAGGGGTTTGATTGAGAGAAGAAAAGCCGAAATTCAAACTTTGGAACAACAATTAGAGGAAGAAACTGAAAAAGCGAGACCTTCATCTACGGGTACAACTTTGCGGGTCGGAGGATCTTCATCTATGCAAGTTACTTGGCAGATAGAAGCGGCACAGGAAGAAAAGGGGAAGGAAGGGATTCCGAGTACATATTTATCTTCCCAGACCAGAGGAACAACGCAAGATATGGATGATTATATTGCCAGACATATGAAGCGGTTGCAAGAATTAGAAAATATGAGAAATTTGCTGATAAAGGAACGCGAAAGATCGACTCTTCAACATGATTTGAGTGTAGGAGGAGATACCTTGATCTACTGGTGTGGCCAGCAAAAATAGAGACTTGAACGTCGAAGTACATGAGAAATTGTCTCTATTGTTCCCACCCGCCTGGTTTCGTCCATTTTCTATCAAGACAATTGTTTTGAAGTATTAGCAGAAAGACCGTATTTCCAACCCCTTCGCCAAGATGATTCTCGAAAGACACTCGTCAGTCGAAGGACACACTTATTTAACAACGCATGGACAATGGCGGGTTTGAAATTCGCTAAAAGATCGAAATGTTGAGTCACTACCTCTTTGGACTTACTATCGAATGATGTCTCATTCCAATGTCAATACGCCTTGGCAGTACTTTTTCTAAATGATTCCAGGTCCTCACGATGTTTGTCTGACGCTCTTGCTTCGTTTGTCATTATTGTTACGATGTTAGAGATTGCCTTCCGGGATATAAGTCCATGCTCTGGGAGTTTTTTCATTATGATGGTGTAGATGGTAACACTTGCTTGTTCGTATGGAGTCAATAGCTCTACAAACAGGGGTTTTGACTGTCTTGTGGAAGGGACTAGCAGGAAGAAAGCGCGGGCATCAACGGCGGAGGAGCTCTTATTGATGTTGTCGTGGAAGCCAGTGCGGCGGTGGGAGCGTAGTTATATACTAGGAGGGATAAGGATAGCTATGGAGGCTTTCTTTTGATTGCAGCTATCGTGAACTTACTGGGGATCTTGCCGGGGTTGGAAATGATGAACAGGAATCAAAGAGCTTCGGAAACTGTCATATGTCCTGAAGGAAAGATGTACGAAGCATAAAGTAAGACCTCTACCGACCTTCTCTGCAGCTCGATGTAGATTGAATTGAAAGAGTACATCGATATCGAAAACAAACTCCATATATGATCGAATGCGACAGTTTGCGTTGCGGTGTAAAGCAAAACATGCAAGCTGAATCTTCACACTTGAAAATTGAATCAACGACGTGGCGATAATTTTGTGACCCTAAATTCTGAATTCATTTAGAACAATCCGTAAAAAGTCTGGAATATCCAATCGATTCGAGACAATCAAACCATTTGAACATTCCAAATGAATTGGACAATACAAACTTATGAAGCAACTCAACCTCTAGTATCATCCTCAATACCCCAACACTAGCAAAACCCCCACAACCGCATGTACAGGCGCATAACCCCAATGATCTCCCTGCCCCCCTCCAGCCCCCCAACACACCCACCCATCCACAAATGCAACACCACTCCCGGAACCACAATCCACCCTAGTGTTTTGTAATTGCGATAGTAGGACGCGGCGTACATGGCGAGTCCCATGAAGATGTCTCGTGCGCCGTAGATGGACATGAGGGCTTCGATGAGGATGGTGTTGGATGGGGTTTGCGGGAAGGAGGGGATAGGAATTGGGAAAGGGATTGGTAGAAGGTGAGGGCGTGGAGGGGGCGGAGTATGGCGTTGAGTCCGAAGAGGATGAAGATTGTTCCGAAGAGGGTGGGGAGGAGGTGGAGGAGGGGGGAGAGGGAGAGGGAGAAGGTCATAGTCGGTGGGTGATTTGAGAGGTAGTGAGTTGAGAGTTGTTGAAATTGGTTGTTCGGGAGGTGTGGAATTGAATTCCTGTATGGTATTTAGTTATCTGGGATGTTAATTCTGATAATGTTTAAACAGTGGAATTCAAACATTGAAGCTATACAGCAGTAAAGCTTTCAATCGAGTGTGAGCGCCGAGATGTCGCGTGAGACAAAGACATTTCCAACTATGAGGCGTGTTATAGCCTGATTAGCATCTCGAGAGATGTCCTATACCTTGGGACAGATATGAAGATATATTGTTTTCAAGACGACGATTAGATTGGTGTTTGAACTTCGTAGGTAGATAGTAGGTATTGTTGACTGATGGTGGTTGGTTCCAAGCCGGCCCGAGCAATTCCACAACCCATGCAAAGCTTCTTTCTTATCTACTGGAGCGGAGAATGTCCCGAATGGATTAACCATCAGCGACACCACATTCCAAGGTTGATTGTTCAAATCCTGAATATATCAACCATTATATAATTTCATTCACCAATCTATGGTCGTAGAAATGTATGGAAATGTATATATGACATATGGAAACTGTAGCTGTAGCTTACACCGCACCATCACTTGTCGACCTTCCATATCAAGATTGAAAAAGATGGAGAAATGCATCGCCACTTCATTTATCCATGGTACCTTACTTTCACACGATACTACAAAAGGAAGGTTGATCGTTACCAAAACCTCGCTACACGAGCCGATATGCATTTGCAATTGATAAGGTGTGGTAGGACATGGGGACATGGGGTGAGAGTTAATCGTATTGCCTGTTCTGGATATGAGCTATTACCCTTGAGCTACTCTGGTGAATACCGAGCTAAAAGCTAGATTGATGATTGAGTATTCTATTGGGAGGAATAAGTATATGTATACCCCTCATTCCCACTTCCCCTTCGAAAGGAGTAGGCTTTTCTCTTCACCTCCATCAATCAATTAGCAATCATGGTGACTTCAATTGCTACCTTCGCGGCATTTCTTGCAGTCGGATTGGTATCGAGCTCTCCGATCAAAGCTCGTACTCCATATGCTGTGAAGGAAACTCATCATCCGCCACCTCAATGGCAAAAAGTGGGACCTGCTCGTTCAAACCATATGATTAATCTTCAAATTGGTTTGAAGCAAGGTCAATTCGATGAATTGGAGCGTCATCTTTATGAAGGTATGAATAATTCTTTCGAAACCCAAGGAAGTAAGCAATTGAGATTGAAAATCAACTAACAAACTCATAGTCTCTGATCCTGATCACCATCGTTATGGTCAACATCTCAGTGCTGATGAGGTGAATGATCTTGTTAAGCCTTCTGACGAAACTCATAATCTCGTTCATGAATGGCTTCAAGACAACAACATTGAACCGGCCTCTCTTGAATACAGTCCAGCGAAAGATTGGATTAAAGTTACCATCTCCATTGAGGATATTGAAACTCTTCTCGACACCGAATATTCAACATATCGACATGAAGATGGAGAATACATCGTTCGAACTCCGGAATGGTCTTTACCTCTTCATCTCCACGATCACATCGAGACAATCCAACCTACCAATTCTTTCTTCAAACCACGCCCTGTAGCAAAGACTATGAAGAAAATCAATGAAGCTGCAGAGTATCAAGCATTAGCACCATCAAACTACAAACCTCCTACCGTTGGTCAAACTGCGGCAGATGTATGCAATGTCTCCTCCGTAACCCCACTTTGTCTTCGAACTCTTTACGGTACCGTAGACTACAAGGTTCAAGCAGCTGGCAAAAACAAGATGGCTCTTACAAACTACCTCGGTGAATCTAACAACCGATCTGACACCAAACTCTTCCTTGAACAATACAGACCCGAAGCAGCATCAGCAGCATACAGTTTCGATGTAAAAGTTATTAATGGGGGTAACAATGATCAAGGTCAAGAAAATGCTACAGAACTCAAAGCTGGCAAAGATCTTGAAGGAAATTTGGATTCTGAAACCATGTTGGGAATTGGTTATCCAACTCCATTGATCGCTTACACAACCGGAGGGTCCCCTCCTTTTACCCCAGATGAGCAAACACCTACTGATAATAATGAGCCTTACCTCGTATGGTTACAATATGTGCTCAGCCAAAAGAATCTTCCAGGAGTTGTCAGTAACTCATATCAAGATACTGAACAAACTGTTCCATACTCTTACGCCGTTTCCGTCTGCAAAGGCTTTGCCCAACTGGGAGCCAGAGGTGTTTCCGTTCTTTTCGGATCTGGAGATAACGGTGTCGGAGCAGATGGTACATGTATTTCGAATGTGGACAACAGCACTACTTTCCTCGCCATGTTTCCTTCTACTTGTCCTTACGTTACATCAGTTGGCGGAACCAAATTCATCAACCCAGAAGTCGTAGCTACCGATGCCCGTAATGGATATGTCTCCGGCGGTGGATTTTCTCGCTACTTCCCTCGTCCTTCTTGGCAAGATTCAGCTGTTAAACCATATCTCGCTTCTCTACCTAAGAACATTACGAGCTTCTTCAACGCGACCGGTCGCGCCTTCCCAGATATCGCTGCCCAAGGATACGCTTACATCACGGTTTGGAACGGCACTACTGTTCACCTCGATGGAACTTCAGCTGCTACTCCTACTGCTTCGGCAATTCTCGCTTTGATCAACGATGCGTTGATCGCAGCGGGAAAACCAACTTTGGGATGGTTAAACCCGTGGTTGTATAAGAAGGGATATAAAGCATTCACAGATGTGACGGTGGGATCTGCAACTGGATGCGGTACTAATGGATTCCCTGCAACAACTGGCTGGGACGCGGCAACCGGTTTCGGTACTCCTGTAAGTTTATGTGTTTTCTTTTTTCTTTTCCATTTTCTCTTTCGTCAATCTATGGTTGAAAAATGAAAGTATACTAACAAAATACAACAATAGTATTTCCCCAAAATCAAACAACTCGTCTTGGGCTCCGCCGGTCATGGATCTAACTGACGCCGAGGTTCGTGGAATCCGTGGTATCGTGGCTTGAGTGCGGTCACTTGGATACTTATGATTTATGTTGGGATTTGATCGGATTTGATTTGATGATATATGTAGTATACATACCTAGTATTTATGATAATGAAAAATGGAATATATTTATATGCTTGTGTGTGATTGTGTGGTTGTGTGGTTATATGATGGTACTTGGGTAGGTAGATATTGTAGCTTGTCAGATGGGTGTGCATGGAACAAGAAACCTCTTCAAGTTAAATATAACGCGCGATTTTTATCTTTCGGTTTGGCATTTCTGAGATATGGGGTTGGGAATGTGAGGTGGAGATTGGTTCGTGGGCGGATGGATATGTACGAAATAGGATTGGAGGTTAGTAAGTAAGTAAGTAAGTAAGTAAGGATAGATTGGATTGGGGACGATTTAATTTGTGTTCAGGTAGGTATTTAACATTTTTATATTTTGGTTTTCTATTCTCGTGATATTTACCTACACACTGTGTACCTCAAGCCTTCTCCTCCCTCTCCCTCTCCCTCTCCCCCACCTGCAATCCCCCCACAACAACATCCACCCACTCCCCCTCCCAACCCACCAAGCCCCTCCAATCCCCCGTTCCCAACTCCTCAAACCTCCTCGTGCGTACCCTCTCCCCCCCAGTCTCCACCCCCTCCACAAAAACCACCGGACTCCCCCTTCCCCACGGCCACCCCCACACCCCCCTCATGACCGGCGTATCCACCTCGACCCTCACCTCCGCCTGAAAAGCCCCCCCCTCTCTACAAACCACAACCCCCACATCCACGCGATCCGGAATGCCCCCCTTCGTCTGCTTATTCTCGCGCAAATCCCAGTACACGGAATCCCACGACGCGGAATGGGGTTGCGACCAGAGATTTCCGACGAGCGAGTAGCGATGCGCGAGCGAAAAAGATGATTCGTGCGAGAGGGAGGTGGAGGGACCGAGAGTTGTGGGGCCGAGAGGAACCTGTAGGGAGATTTCTCCGGCGAGTTTGCGGGTTTGGTGGACGGCTGTGGGGAGGCCGTAGATTTTGCGGGGGGCGAGCGCGCTGATTGTGGGCGTCCAAGTGGGTTCTTTGGTACGGGTGGAGGAAGAGGAGGAGGATGAGGATGAGTGGCTGGAGAAATCAATCTTCACACTCGCGTTTTTGAATCGAAATCCATGGTCTCCGGAGCGGAAAATAAATGTAAAGAGGAGGAGGGTAGCGGGCTGGGAGTGGAATGTTCCGTGGCAGACGGTGGATACGGAACCGCGGACTCCGGCGTCGGAAAGGAAGCCGATGTCTTTTTGGGTGATGATTGTAGAGCGGGGGGAGGGGAGTTCGTAGCGGATGGAATAGGGAGTGTGGGACTGGGTTGAGGAGGCGGGGGCGCTGAGTCGGATTTTGTGTATTTCGTTTTGTTCCTCGATTAGAGGTTTTTCTAGGGGTGCTGAGTAGGATATCGAAGATGCTTCCGGGATATTGATAGGAACAATAGAGATTTCTTCTTCCTGCTCAATGATTTCCCCCTCCTCTGAATTCAAAGGCGCGGAATACAATTCCCCAGATAAATCTGGGACATCGATCGGAATAAGCAATACATCATTTTCCCGCTCACTAATTTCCCCTCCCGATGGCACGGATAAAGGTACTTCAGAGGGGTGATAACTTCTCAAGAGATCTTGCGGAGAGAGATATGCTGCATGTGACTTGTCCATTTTTTTCAGCTGGGGAAAACGGTGAGTGGGGTGGGTTTATTTGGACGACTTGTCTTTTGGAATGAACTCTGGAAGGGTGGAATGGAACAAAATAAAATATTCGAGGGGGCCGAAAATATTGAGTGCTCGATAGATACTAAATACCTAGTATTTTATGTATCATGTATGTTTTTTGTTACAAGAAGTCCATAGGTAGGAAGACTAAGTAATTGATAGGATAGCTGAAAAAGGGTTGGAAGCTAATAATAGGAAAGATTGACGTCATGGGACATAACGCTAATGCACGAATTAATTAATACAATAGATATTATGAATTGAAGCTATTCCCAAATACACAAATCTCATCGCACGCAATAGAAACACGATGTGTAATTGTTAAACTCGTTTGATTAATCGAGGTTCCTGGTATTTATACAGAACCCCTTGAAAACAATGTACCATAAAGAGAGCGTAAGAAATATACACAGCGAGCCGGTTTTGTACACACCACAACTGTTTCTACAAAAATTGGACCAAATTGAACGTTAGAATCTTAATCATTGGAGGATGTCCAGTGTCCATGACCAAAAGTTTCAAAGTCCCAACCGGGCGGTGCTACTTTATCCCTTGCTTTAAGCACCGGTGTTGATACTCCTATTGGCATTAGACGGGGCTCGTAATGTGCTGTGTACTTCCCCTCTTCATCTCTCTCCGCCCACATCACCTCTGGAGAATTCACTTTCTCCCTCACAAATGCTACAATTCCATGGGAAACTCGAAAGGAATGGAACCAATCATTGTGCCAATTGTGATATTCGATAAAGCCACCCCCCATATGATACATTTTAAGACCAAAGAATCCGGCAAAAACCTGAGGGTTATTTAGTATTTGAGGAAAGATTGAAAGACAAAGGAAATATAGGATGACTTACACTATTAATCATCTTGATTGTATCCGGGTCTCGTGTTCGTTTCATAGCGAACGTCAGCCAGTCAATTGAACCACGGTATCCCCAACATGTGCTTATTAATGCGCATTGTACATGTACCTCAAAACTCATAGGGCTTTCTGGAGTCCATGTTGGAAGTTCATCTTGACAATTAGGATAGGCGCCTGAATCAACGATAGCAGTTTTCTCAGCGCCTGCGACGTAATCGACTGGAGGATGAATTGGACGTGATGGTCCCATCCATGCATCCCATTCAGCGTAAAATAGGGCGTAAACTCGCTGACTAGCATTCATATCCTGATATGGCATAATAGCCAAAGCCGTTGGTGTGTTTATTGGTAAGAAGCTTCTGATAGTATACTTTGTATCGAGCATGATCCTTAATAACCCAACTGCTCGAGTGGTCTTAGGGTCCACCTTCACTCTTCCATTCTTTCGATAATGTTCGATCTCACTCTTCTCTACGATCTTTGCAGAGCCACAGCATGCACAGCTGGCGTCTCCGAGCTTATGCGAGCCAAAACAATAATCCAAGACCCTATCTAGGAACCTCTTCCCAGGCACTTCGTAATAATCTAACGATTCAAGTTGTGTGGTATCTTCAGGACGAATGCCACAAAATTTGATCAAGCAGGCTTCTACCGCGATTTCTAGCAATGGTGCCGGCCAATAGTTTGGTTTGTCGAGATCGACCCATATCTGACGAGGACTTAACGTAGGTTGACGACGTCGCAGCTCTTTAATGTCTTTAACAACCTTTTTAAGGTTCAGCTTGTTGTCAAATAGCGCCATAGACTCCATTCCTTCACCTAATCTCGCGGCTAAAAAAGTGCCATCTTTGGTTTCATATCGTAAAATTTCGGTTTCCTGCCACCACCGGTTTTCTTGATTCTTCAACTGGATGGTGTTCGCCAAGAGATAACCATTTGCTACCAAACAAGCCTCTACAACTATTTCTTTCAATGGCATTAGGCCATTTGGTTTCCTATTCAGCTCTCCCCAAATCCAACGAGAGCTTGAATCACGGTTATGGAACCATAGATCATGGATCTCTACAAGAACCCTTGTATCTAAATCTTCGACTCTTTTCCTCAAGTTGGGGTTGGACATGAGAAAAGCATACCATTCTATAATCCCGGTTAGCAAGTCAAAATGTGCATTTTTAGAATCAGACCGTGTTTTCGATGGACGATGACTTACTTCTAATAAAATCTTTAGCAGATAGGTCCTTATTCAGTCGATCTTCTTCGTACTGCCGCACCTGGTGCTCATGAGCCTTGATTTGGACTAATTTCTCTATGGGATAATCAAACGCCACTAGCAGCCAAGCCTCTACAACGACTTCTTCCAGTGAATTCTGGCTGCCTGGCTCCTCGTTAAGACGTCGCCAAATTTCACGAGAGCTCAGTTTAGGCTGCCTTGAGGTTAGCGCTTGAATGCGTCGAAACAATAGTTTATGGTCTATATCATTATATGATCGTCCAGGATTGATATCTCTAAGTACTTGGAGAGCAAGATTTCCGCGTACTGAAATCCACTGATCGATCTCCAACGCTGTATGTCGGGAACCTGATTTTGTATATTCAGCGCCGAGGTGTATATCTCTAGATTCAGACTGTATGTCTTCGGATTCAGACTCTGTATCTTTGGAGTCAGACTGTATATCTTCGGATTCAGACTGTGTACTTTTTGTAGCCGGTTGTATAGGTTTGGTGCTAGTGAATCTATTCTTAAGAAATTCCATGAGACATTTATCGTCGTTCTCCATATATTCAAGATTGGCTTTCGTGGCCTTGAATTTGACAGTCTCTTCCTCAGGGTAATCGAAACACGCTACCAGACAAATTTCCACCGTGATCTCTTCCAGTGGTTTCTGCCTGTCCGAGTTTTTGACTAGATGTTCCCATATTTCATGGGAATTCAGTGTAGGTTGCTCAGAGCGTAGTTTTTCGATCTCTTTACGGAGGTCTTCGAAAGTTTCTTCGTTAATAGCCATGTTTCCGTTATGAGATGAATATTAAATCGGTGAATGCAACTATGCGAATCAATAGTGAAGGTTGATTGCTTGTAGAAGGGTTTTTGATGTGAAAATGTTGAATGAGAAGAGAGGTTTGAACCCGAATTGAAGTTATCTATGAGTATGAAGACCATGAATGTGAAGGAAGGTCGATGTGGGAAGGTCTCAACATGGTAGTCATAGTGATTGATATGGTACGACTGCGTATCAGGGGAAAGTGCGATGAGACTTTGGCATTTGGGCACTTAATACTGAACTAGAATGGCATGGAAAAGACTTTAAAGCTGTAAATCTGCCTGGGTAGAACACATCCTTATCTTGTATACGGTACCTAGTACATTTAAAAAGCTCTCAAGTTATCACCCCTCGCAGATACGAGATTGAGCAGGCCTTTAACTCCATTGAAGTATTGATACATAGTCGAATGAAGGAGTGGTGGGCGACTTCCCTTTCATGAGTGCGGATTTGCAAGAAAGGGAGGATCATTCGACCAGGTCAAAAGTGATCAAGATAGGCATCTGCCTCCAAGTATCAACTATAATCATGCGTCGTAGGGACCCTAACTCTCCCATTCACTCCATGCCATCCTCAGCAGAATTCCAAAAACCTGAAGAAGCAAAAGAGAATGGGAGACCTCAAAGGGATAAAGTGTATATTCCATCATACTTGCGATGAGATAATATAATGATTTGCTATTGTTGCAAAAAAGACTATGCAGGAAGAATGAGCAGGCATTGGCAAACAAAAGGGAGAATCATCATTGCAATAAAAAGTCATTTGTCGTTGTATATATTCTTGAATATCAATGTTTGTGGTTGGGAGTTGCTTTGATTTTGGGATGCTTTGCTATGTAAGATAATTGTGGCTGGCTGCTTGCAAAGCTAGCGGCCGTTACAGAATCTTGGCTTCCGAGCTTCAATGAACATCAATTGTGTACCTTCGTTCCTACAACAACCTCAAACCCAGCAACAACCTCATCAAGCCCGATAAATTTTTCTATGGAAAGAAGACATATCAAACTCAAATTCTCTGCCCTTTTGCGCATTCAGATGATGGATGCATACCTCGGCACTGGCAGAATGGGTAAACAGTTAAAACAGGTTACTTCTCTCACCACAGATCAGACCACTTGTTGCAGGTAAGCAGAGGCGCATAGAAATAGGTGAGGACTATAGAAGGTAGGAACTGGGAGGCAGATCTTTGTTCTCAAAATATAAGAACAAAGCTATATCATTTTCAAAGACGAATGCTAAACAACAGTCAAATCTTCCTGCATCTATCGAACCACAATTGAAGCATCAGCGACAACGACTATCATCACCGCAATCAATCAAAACATCGAAAAGCCACATACCATCCTACAAAATACGAACAAATTCCAAAATGATATTGTTTGAAACAGACACCTCAGTCTTTGAACTGTTGTGGGATCTCGCTCTCGCATTCTTTATTGTTCGCATCGCATTCATATATTTTATCCTCACATATCTATCATCTCTCTTCTCGTCGTTCATTATTCTGAATCGAGTCATACCATATAATCATCTCACGGCTCCAGCCAGAGAACTTATCGCCTTTCCCATATATATTATTACAGTGGCATTGTGGGCGAGGACGGTGATTGTATATTATGAAATACCACACGTGCCAGGATTTAGGATCGCGATTGGTTTGGTCGCTGGATTCTTTATGGTGATTGCGGAATTAGTGGGGGGTTTCGTGTTATGGGAAGAGGGATACAAAGAATGGATTTGGGAGACGAATTTGCTTGGCGCGGGGCTAGGGATATTGTCATTAATACTATTCGAGGGGATGCCGTGGGTATTGATGCAGCTCGAAAGGAGTGAGATGAACGAGACCACTCATGGGCATGAAGAAAAGCCAATTATAAGTGCTGTGTAAGTGATCTTTCTTCAACCTTTGGAATCGAGTCCGTGGACGGTAACTAACCATCAACAGGCCAACAATTGGAAAGACGGAGAAAGTGAATATTGAAGATAAAAAGACGAATTGAGGTTGAGAAATATAGCTATACGTTGAAGCATCCTGATGGGGGCAAGATATTCCTAATTAGATTTCACTCAGTGAAGATGATCCCAAGTTGGGCCTGGATTCCGTCTAGGCAATAATTTGCCGCATGCGTCAAAGCAAAATCGCTTATCGTCTTTGTGCAAAATAAAAGGTCCTAATTTCTGAGTCATGTACGAATGATGCGGTGGAAGCATCCCATCAAATGTCAGCATTATTACGTCCCTGCTTCTTTGGACGACGAAGTTTCCCCTATCAGGATCATCACTGTTGTCATGTCTGGCCACGAATCCGTTGTCAAATGACTCGAAGATGATTGTATCATTGCATGGTTTATTCAATACGCCGCCTCTGAGAGCAAGAATCCCTTGAGACACCTCGGTTTCTGACTTAATGAACATGGGCCCCTGAGACGTCGATCTCACTTCTACTCGATCCTCCATTTCTCGTTTAATGGCAAAGTGTATCTGTTATCTGTGTTCTGGATTACGCAGTATACATCTCTTGTAGGACACAGTAAGGAGAAGATCTTCTGTGTAATGTCTCGGCTCTAGGTGATCTCGGTGTGGCCGGAAAAGAGGGGCACCACCCCCACCAACAACATAGAATCTTTCACAACATGTGTTTTTCGATGCCATATTACGATGTCAATTTGATAACGTAATTTATCAGCATGTGGGCCATATCAGCATGTGGGCTATTTTCACCTCAATTTATACTTTTCTCTTTCAACATAACGTGGTTTATCATCGAGTGGGCTATATCATCGAGTGGGCTACTTCAAAATACATCAAAATTAAGGATTTTTGAATATTTGTATTTTAATAACTGATTATTATTTTAGAAAAAGAAAAAAAGATTAAATAATAATAAAAGATTAGTTTTCTAAAAATTTAGTTTTTATATAAATATTTTTATTTTATATTAAAAAAAGTGAAAATTGTTATGATTTTTATTACAAAAAAATATTTTTAATAATAATTCTTATATTAATTCGAATTTCTAATAAATAATTAGATTTTTGTAATATTTATATAATTAAATTTCATAGTTTTAATTTTTAAAAAATTCTATTAATAAATAAAGAAAATACACAGTTATATATAGACGAATTTTGTATATAAAAATAATAGCCCACTCGATGATATAACCTACTCGATAATAAACCACGTTATATTTTATCAACAATCTATAATAAATTTAAATAATCAAAAAGCCTATATACTCCTTACTATTGAAACTATTCAAAAAAACAAAAAACTAAGCATTCAAAAGATTATTAAAATACATAATATTCTATATATAATATTATAATATAAAATTAATAATTTTTTTTTATATAAAATATTAATATAAATCTTAAAATCTTTTGAAATTAAAAAAGAATATTATTATTGAATATATATTTAATATGGATTTTAAAGAATTTCTATTTAAAATTAAGAATATAGGAAATATAACAAATTATATTCTTGAATTAAAAGATACAAAATATATTAAGAAATTTTGAGTATATTGATTTATAAAATATTAAATCAGATTAAAAATATTTTTTGATTATATTTATAACTTCTAAAAAATTCTTTATAAAGATTCTAAATATTGATTTAAAAAGAATATAAAAGATATAGTATTTATGTATTATAGGTTTTTTATATTTAATTATATTTCATTTAAAAAATTAATTATATAAAAGAATAGTAGGCTTTAAATAAATATTATTGAGAGAGCTAATTTCTTTTATATCTATTTAATCCTTTTAGTATAATAGTTATTATATTAAAGTCATTCCTTTGAAGTAAATACCTTTATTTATATATTAAATTTATTAAAAATTGGTTTTAATTATTTATAAATATATAAATAAAATATAATATTTTAAATAAAGACTTCTATAGTTTTAATAAAATAAACTTTAGAATAAGGATTATAAATATAATAATAATTAATATTATTAATAGAGAGATATGATAGAAGTAATTAGTATAATTAAATATAGGAATAGATTATAATAAATATATATGAAAATAAAAAGAGTGAAATTATTCTTTATTTTTAATAATTTAAAAATAGATTTATCTTTTTAATTAATATATCAAAATCAATTTTTCTATTAAATAAACTATTAAATTTATATCTAATAAATAAACAAATGATAAAATAGATTTAAAATAATTAAATATTTCAATAAATATATTAAAGAGAAATAAAAAAGGAAATATCGATATCGAATATTAAATAAATATAAAAATTATAAATCAATATTATTTTAAAATTATTATAAGAAGGATAATATTAAATATATATATTCACTATTATATTCAAATTATTTAATTCATTTATTTAATATAAACTATTCTAATAATTTGAAATATCTATATAATATTTAAATTAATAGATTTATTAAAATATATATTAATTATATTTCAAAGATTAAATTCTTCATAATTTTAAAATTGTATATAAAGAATTAATTATCTTTTAGAATATATAATCCGGATTTCAAAAAATAGATTTAATATTATTTAATTCTAAAACTATATTCTCAAAATTAGATATTCAAAATTTATATATTTATTCTTCCCTTTTTCAATTTAAATTAATAGATTTTTCAAATTTCTTATAATTCAATTGAAATTCTCTTTCAATCAATATTGATTAAATCTTGAATAAATTATTATTAATTAAATTCCTTTATATCTTTATTTAAAATTATATTAATTCTAATTAAAAATACAGAAAGATTAGTTTAAAAAATATACTTTTGAATATAAAGATTTATATACTTTAAAAAGCATATAAGATATTAAATAATTATATTAAATAAGAGTATTTATTAGATAAAAAGTTTTTAATATATTATTTCAATAAAGGATTAATATTTAGATTTAATATAATGAATATTAAAATCAAGGAAATCCTAATAGAGAAATATTTTTAATAGATATTTGTTACGGAGGACTTACTAAAACAGCACTATAGGGATAGTAGGATGAAAGCGTAACTAAAGATAACAGTAATCAAACAAATAAATAATAATTAAAAGATAGATATCTATTTTTTATTAGTATCTACTCTATAATAGATATAGAATATATAATGATTACAGATTAACTAGTAAATATAGGTTAGATAATAAATATTGGTTAGATAGTAAATATAAATTAACTAATAAATATAAATTAAATAAACAATAGTTTTACTTTAGATTATGGATGTTGATGTTATATGATTAGGAAAACCGAATTATCAAAATCAGCTTTTCAATAATCGATTTATCAATTCAAAAAATATAGAGATTTATATAAAGAAATGGATTTCATTATAATATAAAGCTTTATATTCAAAACAATTATGAATTTTATATTATAATTACAAGAATTGCAAATAGTTATAACCTTGTTGAATTCCTATTTGAAGTTTAGTTTAAACTACCTCGAGAGATCTCTAGATATTTCTATATAACCCTAGAGGCAGCTCCCGTAACAATATTATACTAAGTATAGAAAACCAGGTTATAATTTAAGAACTTATTAAAATAATATAATAAATCCTAGATTATTAGATTCTTAATAGTTTTAATCAATTGATATAATAATTGAATAATCTGTATTTAAAAGTATAAATTGAGGTGAAAGTGGCTCACATACTAATATGGCCCACATGCTGATAAATTACGTTATATGATCTGATAAGATTGAAATTCTCGGTTAAGTCTCAACTTGCATTTATTTCGATCCAAATTTCAAAGGAGGATAATGATTTGTTGATTATTTGTTTAACTATTCGTTTGTTTATAAAAACGAATTTGATTTTGGTGTCCCATATATTTCATCCACTTCGTCCACACCGAGGCGATGTGCCTGTGAGAGGTTACTAAGTGTCCATTGCTTCAAATATCCCTGCAATATCTCTTTCGAAATGAACGTGTCGGTGTCGATGATCTTCAAGTGAAAACTTAAGTTAGTTCGGCTCGAGTTCGGTCCCATAAGTTATGCTTCGGAATGATGATGATCATAATTCATTGAAGTGGATATCCCCGCATTGCACATCGATAATTCTTGTGTACACTCTTGACGGGATGGGTTGTTCCTTGGAGCTCGATCATCTCTTCTGTGATACCGGATTTGTGAATAGTATGTTAAAGACCGTATACATCTTACTAATCGCAGAGAATAATAGCGTCCTTCAATCAGATACTCACATAGATAGCATATCCCAGATGCAATTTGCAATTTTTAAACCCCGGATATCTGGGATTAGCCGAGAACACGCAAATTAATTTCACTGTTTGAATTGTCTGAATGAAGAATTTATATATTTTCATTTGCATCAAATGGATGCTTCTAATAGACTAGTGAACTTTTTAGTTCAATAACGCCGGATGACTTTTGTATGCATCATTTATTCCCGCCTCTTCATCGCAAGCACAGGTGCGGTATATACGTGCCTTGCCTTAAAATAATAATAGATCAACGCGACAGATAACGTGGCTACAAACATCACACTCGACCAATTCATATTTTGGGCGGTGACGGGTGTTTGGAGAGGCCAAAATGAGAAGAACGTGATGGGTGCTAAGAAACACAACGAGGCAATGTTGATGGTCATGCCGTATTTGCCGAGAGACCATCGATGTGGAGGAAGGGGACCTTGTAAACGGCGCCAGACCAAACAGCTGATTGTGATGAAGTAAGAACATAGAATTGAAACACCGCCAAGAGAATTGATTGCGTTGAGGGCAACGGTTGATCCAAGGTTGATGAGTGAGAGTAGGGAAGAGACAGCGATTGAAACGCAGACACTGCGAAGTGGAATGTTCCAACCGGGCGACACTTTGGACAACCAAACCGAACCTGGTAATCCTCCGTCTCGAGCAAATGACCAAATCTGGCGTGAGGCGGCAGCCACTTCACTGATACAGCAAGATAATAAGAGGATAACTACGACCATACACATAACGTTTGTGGCGGCGTAGCTTTGCGTTGCATTGAAGAATACTTGCATAAAAGGCTGGCCAGTTACAGTTTCAAGAACGGCGTCGAGATCCCCGAGGGTGAAGATTAAAGTCACTGCCATGAGGAATCCCATAGTAGCGTTGGGTCCTACTGACCACATGATGGCTCTTGGAACTACCCAGGATGCGTCTTGAATCTCCTCGGCTACACACATAGTATGTTAGTAATCCATTCATGTGACATCTTTCAATGGTTAAACTTACATAAATGCACAGAGCAGTCATATCCAATCAACACGCTCATCGGACTGACCAGCCCGATCATAGCTGCCAATCCCTTGGAAGACCATCCACCATCGTTGGTAAAGTTCAAAAGAACAGTATTTGGATCGCCACGAGGTCCCATGACCCATAACGGAATGATAATAACGAAGAAACCGATCAAGTGAAGAATCAAGACTATACCCTCAATCAATGGCAGACGTTCAGCCAAGGAAGTGTTGAAAACAACGGAAAACGTTACAACTCCGATGGCGAGCAACGTCGCGTGGAATGGCTCGTAGACATAGTCGGCTTTGTTGAGGGCAATAAGACCTTGAAGGATCCCACCGATCATAAAGCAGACACCCGCAAGATACACTTGCCATCCAATGGCAGAAAGCCAGCCCACGATATAGCTGAGCAGCCTCTGTATCCTGGGAGGGGCAAATTCTGAAACCCAATGGTATTGTCCACCTGCCGTTGGCGATCTATGTTCTCGACATGTTAGTCACCAGAACGAGAATGAGCTGAATTCAGAGTTTAGGGATGATGGCACGCACATAGAAGCCATTTCAGCAATACTAGCATATACCAAAGACATGCCACAAGCAGCAACAATGAATCCCCAAAATAGATCGGCCGTCCCTCCATCAACCATGACGAATGTGAAGAGGGGAAGCAAAAGTTCCCAAGACGCCATAGCTGTACTAGCAAATCCCAGCATCGTTATAAATTTAAAGTTCCGCTATATGAAATCCAGTCAGCCATTACTCGTTCTACCTCATCGATAATGGCGGAGCCTACACGTAGAACCTGCTTCTTTCCTAACACCGCCATGTCCTGTTGATCGGCTCTCGTTCCACGCCATTTCTTTGCGACCTGGCCTGGAACCTCGTCTTCGAAATCCTCCTTCTCAGCATCTTGACTGTTCGAAGCAGCGCCACCTGATTCTCGACTTGCATATATCACTTCTCCGTCCTTCTGAATCTCTGGGGTCATGGTGACTAACGAGGAAAATTCGAGGGCGGCTATGCTGACAATGAGATAAAAAGCTGGAACCCGCGCAGCTCAATTTTGCGACTCGAAAATACGCATGGAATGAAAAGATTGAAGTCGCAAAGATATGGTTCTAAGACAAGAGACTGAACTTTTGCACAATGGATAACAAGATAAGATCAATGCATGATGCAAGGTAGATGCAAACTACGATCAATCCAGCATTGCATTACCCACTCTATTGTGCCCTGAAATTATCCCCAATTCAGTCCTGCTGACGAGCCGTACCCGTATACTATTACTTCATACAAAACCAAGTCCAGACCTGCAAAGCTATCGTTTCAAACTCTCCCCATGTTCTTTTCTCATCTACATCCGAAATACGCATGCCGTCGAAAACTTAAATATATGAAGTCAGCGGACGATTTACAACCTTAACCCAATAACAACACTCTAACGACATCTACCCAATAAATCATGCAAGCTCAACAGCTCAGTGATTTCTTCAAAGCATTTGTATTAGCTAATTCAAGGGTTGTGAATCCTTTTTTCACACCAATTGGATGATACAGGTAACGAACGCCACAACGTTCAGGGGCGGGCCATCCCACCAATTTAGAGGAATGTCCGTGTTTATTTGGGAAGGTGGGGATCCAGGCATATGAGGTTTCCACTGCCGCATGGAAGAAAGAGTGACGGGCCCGTATGAGTGGAGATGTGTACGCGATTGCCTTTTTTTGATACTCGTATGATTTAAGCGATACAGACAGGAAATTTCGCATCTCAGACTTACTCTTTTGCTTTACCTACAGTGGAAGGAAGTTCTGTTTTCGATTAATCTTCGATATATCAAGCATGCTTGCAGCAGAAGTTTCGGCCGATGTCCTGTTTCTAGAATCAGGCCACCCAAGGTGTTGGAGATGGGGAAAGCCCGGACACAATAACATATCGATCTGCGCAGTACACCTCGCTTAGTTGTAAAGAACAATCATCATGATGAATGCGCAAGTCTTATTCATTCATGAATTTTACCAGGAAGCTTCTGGTCAGTGGCCACCATAAGGAATGCAGCAGAAAAGTTTATTTGAGCCTTCAGGCCTTTCAGGGGACTATTGCTTAGTAAAGCACTCTTATGGTTCTCCATATCGATCCATGCGCGATCGATATTTGAGGATTGACCAACTGTTACGTGTACGATGTACTTACACAAGATTTTGAATTGGCATTTTTCACACCAACCGAGGCAAAAAATAAACGACAACTTCTTCACACTCCGTGCGTACTGTAGTTCTAATAAATGCCTCAAGATTTTTTGGCCTTCATTTCAAAATATCGAATCGCAAGCGAAATAATTGGGATTACGGGATTACGGGATTGCGGAATTACGGGATTTGCTTGTTTTTGAGAATGATTCTATATTTCTAATATGGTTACATCGCGTAAGCGGTATAAAACGTTATTTCAGAATTATACATACCTATGTGTTTTGAATTAACAGACTCATCTAAAGGTAAAAAGGTAGGTCGACTTGGTTTTAATAAAGGGGGACCCAAAAACTGTTATTAATTTTCAATTCAGTAATATACTTCAATTGGAAAATTATGTAATCTTTATATCAATTTTGCTTCTCAAATTGAAATCCAAGGCAGTTCCCGAAGCCCTTTTAAGGGTGTCCAAAGTTATTTTGCATACAAGTTAAAATTTTGTGCTACCATATCCTGCAACCCTACAAAGGATCGACCTCTACATCCACATCTACCATATACCCCAGCAAATACCGAATGACCCTAGTCCAGACTGAAAATCAGGCTCAGTCACCCCACTCTTCAAGTGAAAACCCACAACACCCACAACACCCACTTCCAAATTAGCAAATCATTCAGATTTGCGTCACGAAGAAACCTTGCGACATGCGAGATTTGCGAGGATGGCCCTTCCACAACCAATTTACTGGAATCCAGGAATGGGTTCCCCCAAAGCTTGAACATCACTCCCGACGCTGATTTCAGCTCGTTCCTTCCGTGCCTTTCATGCGAACCGAGACTTCTTGTGCAGGTTCTCGACGGACTACTCTGGGTGCCAACTTTCCGCTCCCGGAGGAGTCCACAAGGGGCGGTTCGTTATCACCTGTTGTAGGGCGTGGCACGGAGGCACCATGTAACAATACTTTTACTTTCTTCCCGTTCTCGAGGCACCGTTTATGTCTGTTCTGCAGAATATAGTTACTTGAGAAATCCCAGGATAATGCTTCTTTCGCTGTATCCTTTATGAACCATCGGCATCCGGCACTTTGATCTACAATGCTCGAGTCTGAATGTTTGAGCCCCTCCACTTTGACATAATTATAACGTGGCGGATGTTTGGTCTCTGATTTTGTTTGGACTAACCATACGAGAACCTGTGCTATGTCAATGCCGACGACTGGCTTGGTGGTGCCACCGGGTCAATCACCACCATTTGCTGTTGTGACGAGTACTGATCATTCGGCGTGGATCATTATCGCAACGGCATTGGGGCTTTCTTGCCTCTTGGTATTCAGTGGAATCAAGTCTTTCGCTAGGACTTCGATGGGAAAAGGCGTTAGTTATGATGAGATATGTCTCTTGGCTTCGACGGTTAGTTACTTGACACATCACTCGCGATGTTCTCATCGCGCAGTTGATGACATCTTGAAAGTATCATGAATTTGGCTGACAAATAACGTAGCTGCTGGCAGCTATTCAATCATCGGTAGTGCTAGGAGCCTGCGCCAAAGGTTTAGGTAAATCCATCGAACTTGTATCAGTCAAAAACCAAGCCCAGATAGAGCAAGTAAGTTCAAGTCATCTAAGCAGCGCGCATTGAATCCCGCAATAACTAACTTTTCACTTGTCAGATGTGGTATACGAGCTTGCTGTTGTTTATCATATCTCTCGGATTGTCCAAAGCTTCAGTAGTCGTCTTATTGGGCAGTTTGACCCCAGATCAGAAACACAAGAAAATCTTCCGCAGTGTGATTGGCTTGACGGCTACTTGGACAGTTGCGAGTCTGTTTGCGGTGGCTTTACAGTGCAATCTGGCTCATCCTTGGAAAACCATCGGACAGCGCTGTGATAACGTGGTAAGCATTATCTTGGAATCGAATTTGGCCCAAAGCATGAATCTAATCCGAGATTGTAGTCTTTAAAATGGCAGGTCATATCTGCCTTTGATATCATTTTCGAGCTCGCATTTGTTGCATTATCATTTTACCTAGTATGGAGTCTTCGGACAAGCAAATCAAATAAGACTATTGTCGTGGTGGCATTTGGGTTTCGTCTTCCGTGCGTCTTTTGGGGACTTCTTCAATACAGGATCGCATGCTAACATCTCTTCAGTATGATCATCGCCATTGCCTACCGACTAGCCCGATTTGATGTAAATGGATTGACTACGAACCCAATGTTTCTCGAGGATGAATTTATTGTATGGACACAGAGCGAAATGAACTATTCCGTCATTGCCGCCATTATACCAAGTCTTCGACCTTTTGTCAAAAATCTTTCTACATATTACGGCCAGGAGCTGGGAGGAAGATCGGGATATACATTGGAGGATTCAGAGAACTATCAACTTTCCAATCTAGGCTCCGCCATGCGAAATGAAAGCCACCACCAAGAGAGCAGAATTCGAGAAGATGTGGATCCAGACGATTATAAATTTCGAGTTTGGGCAAACGAGCCAGGACAAGGTGCAAAGAAAAGCAAGAATCCGGGCGAGGGAAGCTCGAAATTATGGAACAAGGCCGGGGAAGAAGGAACAGATGGATTGAGTGTGGGGAGCAGTGATTCTCAGCGGATGATCATCAAGAAGGATACTACATGGACGGTACAGATGGATTAATCAATGATGGACACGGCCATGGATAAGGGTAATGGGAGGCCATCTGTATTGCGATGATATGGCGTCGTCAATGGAGTCACGGATAGAAGCGTCGAATTTTAGACATTCTCGGGTGGTTGTTTGTATTACATCTTTTTGATGTATGGATCTTGCCAGATACCCACTTACGGTGTTCAAAAACATCATTAGAAACCCATAAATGGGCGATGTCCTACTTTATTCCGAGCTTCATCTGTCTTTCAAGAGAATCCTGATACCTGAATGTCCAAATTCACCATTCTCGGTCATAGTGCAGAGGGAGGTGGAGCAAGTAGTCACAAAGCCTTAATCTTCTGCACATCTACTTCATAAGTGTATCTACAGTGTGGCCACATGAATGCTTTGTGGTAGAATAGTCCGCGTTCTCAACCTCGAAAGGTTTCGATAAATGGATACATAGACGAAGGTACGAAATTTCTATCCCTTGCTAAAAACTGAAGATTACCCAATGTTTCAACATTTCCCGTTCCTGCATAAAATATGATCATGGCAAGTAAGGGTCGGGGAACTCCGTCATTCGGTATTGATGATCACATCCAATGGAATTATCTTGATTCTGGACCAGTCAATTTCAGACATCTAATCCTAATAACATTCGATGCACAATTCAAAGAGAATTGCCTCTGACGAAGACACAAAATCTTTCAGCTAATGACACATTGATCTTGAGCGTACGACATGGTTAAAGATATTTTCGCATGTTTATATCACCCTTTTCCACAAGGACAGACGCAAAATAATTCAGGAAAAAATTCCTCCCCACTATTAGATTTTCTCTGCCCCCCACTTTCATCCTTGTTGACGCGGCTCCTCAGAAACTTTACCCTCGCTAATTCGGACCCGGATCCTGGAAGAGATTAACCTTGAATGCCCTGCCCCGAGAATATATTATATTAACTTTGATTGAAGAAACAAGTATCCACGGAGGACTTTCCTTAAGCGCGATGAAGACTTCTCCGATGTGTTCTTTAGGACTTTAGAATTCGAAGACATTATATGGGATATCCCGTGATTATGTGCGTTTTAACTCCTTTTCATCTGTTTCCCCGCCACCAAGGAGTAATCAAATTGATTCAATTTCGAATCACATGTATTTCTCCGAC